GAATGACAAAAACAGAAACTGTCCGTAATGTAATCATTCATTCGTGATAATGTCTGCAGGGAACAAAACATCTGCTACACACACACACACACACACACACACACACACACACATATATATATATATATATAAATATATATATATATATATATATATATACATATATATACATATACACACACACATATATATATGTATATATATATATATATATACACATACACATATGTATAAACACATACATTCATTTTCTTCCATTTTTCCGGAGTTGGGTCGCGGTGGCAGCAGTCTAAGCCGAGAGGCCCAGACTTCGACTTTCGGCTTTGACTCTCATGTCAGTTCTCTTGTTCGCTCTTCCTTCTTCCATCTCAGGAACGTTGCTAAGCTGAGTCCCATTCTGTCCCGCTCTGAACTTGAGACAGTTCTCCACACCTTCATCTTAGACTACTGTAACTCTCTTTTCACGTGTCTGAGCAGAACCTCCCTGAACCGTCTACAGGTGGTTCAGAATGCCTGTGCTCGGCTTCTGACCAAGTCCTCCAAACACACCCACATCACCCCGCTTCTCCTCCAGCTTCACTGGCTGCCAGTCAACTTCAGGGTTCATTTCAAGATCCTGGTTCTGGTCTATAGGGCCTTACATGGACAAGCACCATCTTACATTGGTGATCTTCTTAGTCCCTACACCCCCAGCAGGTCCCTGAGGTCCAGTGATCAAAGCCTACTGGTTGTGCAGCGCACCAGGCTAAAGGTCAAAGGTGACAGATCATTTGCTGCTGTGGCCCCCAGACTCTGGAACTCTCTCCCCTGAGCCTGAGATCAGTGGACTCAGTGGTCTCCTTCAAAAAGCAGATGAAGACTCACTTGTTCAAGCTGGCTTTTGTATGACCTTCTTCACCTCTCTCTTTATTCTGCTCTCCCCACCTATTCCACCTTCCTCAGGATCCACTGATTTCCCTCTCCCCTATTCACTCTCTGTCTTTCTTAACATTTTCTTTAATCACAATCGTCTATTTTTTTGCTCATTTGAAATACATTTTTAAACATTTTCTAAATGCTTTTTTATATTTTTACACTTTTTGTTTTTGTGAAGCGCCTCGTGATTTTTATCTTGAGAGGCACTATAGAAAAGGTATTTTCCTCCTCTTCCTCTTCTTCTTCTTCCTCTTCTTCTTCTTCTTCTTCTTCTTCTTCTTCTTCTTCTTCTTCTTCTTCTTCTTCTTCTTCTTCTTCTTCTTCTTCTTCTTCTTCTTCTTCTTCTTCTTCTTCTTCTTCTTCTTCTTCTTCTTCTTCTTCTTCTTCTTCTTCCCTCTCCACAGCCACTTGGGCCAGCTCCTCCAGGGGAATCCCAAGGTGTTCTCTGGCCGGCCGAGAGACATTGTCCCTTCAGCGTGTCCTGGGTCTTCCTTTAGGTCTCCTTCCAGTTGGACGTGCCCGGAAAACCTCACCTGGGAAGTGTGCAGGAAGCATCCTAACTAGATGTTTGAGCCTCCTCTTGATGTGGAGGAGCAGTGGGTCTACTCTGAGCCCCTCCTGGATGACTGAGCTTCTCAACCTATCTCTAAAGGAGAGCCCAGCCACTCTGTGTAGAAAACTCATTTTGGCCGCTTGTATCTGCGTTCTCGTCCTTTCTGTCACTACCCAAAGCTCGTGACCATAGGTGAGGGTAGGAATGTAGATCGACCAGTAAATCGAGAGCTTCACCTTCTGGCTCAGCTCTCTCTTCACCACGACAGATTGGTACAACGCCCAAGGATTGACTGTAGTTCACATTGGATTCCCCTGACTAAGGAAGGTGCTATACAGTTGCAGGTTATTTATCATTTATATATCTGGTTTAGATAGTTTAAAGTTTTAGTAACACTTCACAATAAGAATACCTTTATTAATGTTATTTAGTACATTATTGAGCATCAATAAACAAATGATCACTTCATTAATGTTCCTGATAATGTTTACTATCAAGTGTCTTTAGGACAAATGGGGTGTGTGCTTGCTAAGTGGTGCAATCTTTAATATTAACATTAATATTAAGTTGTTCATTCTTTATTTAATAGTTTATTAATGCTTAATAATGCACTAAGTAAAATTGATGAAGGGATCCTTATTGTGAAGTGTTACCAAACTTTTCTTACAAAGTATGACACTACTAATTGGAACTAGGCTCAAACGTATAGGACTTCTCAGGCATCCATGGCATGGTTTATAAGTTAAATCTTAGGCTGTGTGCAAACAGTGAGAACAGAGGGTTACTAATCTGCTTCTCTACCTCTATCTATGGATGCTACAGAACTACAGCTTGTCGGTTCCTCTAAGTTCCTGGGGATCTGGCTTGACAGCACACTCTCATTTGACATTCACTTTAATTCATTACTTTATAAAGTCAAGACTTGGGTTACAGGTCCTTTACTCATTCTGCAAAGCAAACCTTGGTCAAATGACTATCCTTCCCATCTTAGATTACGGTGACATCATTTATAGGACTGCTTCCCAAAAACTTCTTCATAAACTCGATGTCATTTATCACTCAGCACTCTGTTTCATCACTGGTGCCCCTTTCACGACTCATCATTGTGATCTGTACTCACTCGATAACTGGCCATCACTCCATTCATCCAGGTTGGTACATTGGTATCAATTTATATTCAAAACAATCATCAGTAGAACATCGTCATATCTGCGATCATTACTCATCACTTCCAACGACCAGAATAATTTATGTTCCAGTAACTTAATCTCTATGGTTATTCCCAAAACTCGCACCTCCTTTGGCCGCTCCTCATTCCAGTTTGCTGCTTCCAACGACTGGAACGAGCTGCAAAAGCCACTGAAGCTCACTACCTACATCCCATTATCTTCCTTCAATTGTTCACTGCAATCAGTAGTTCCTGATCAATGTGACTGTTTCTGACTGTTTAAAGTCTGTTTTGATTCTTTGTACATATTGCTGCTGCTTCTTAGCCAGATCCTCGTTGTAACTGAGAATGAGTTCTCCATCGACTCATCTGGTTAACGAAGGTTAAATAAATATATGACATAAATACAACTAGTTAGTTCAACACTGTCTTTAAGTTTAGTACCAAATATTTACTAGTCTTCCTGATTTAAAGCCACCATTTGTGTCTTATTGCTGAAGCCTGCCCCTGCCTCTCTGCTGCCAGGACGCAGACTCAACCCGCCACCCCAGCCCTTCTCTAACACTGCTGACATTTCTGCTCGGCGACTTCAGCAAACAGCTAATAATACGCAGCTAATGTTAGACAGACCTTGTTCTCTAACGCCAGTTCTAGAAAGTTCCCTCCTGGCACAGCTGCTTTCCTTGTCTTGTTATGAAGAAAACTGCAGCTGTTTGAATCTGTAACTTTCTAAATGTGTAAAATTATTTTGTTGTCTGATTCATTTCCTTGTGGTTTGTGTCAAATAAATAAATAAATAAATAAATAAATAAATAAATAAATAAATAAATAAATAAAACACAAATAGGATTATTTCATTTTTCCGTTTTGATTAGAATGACAACTATTTGTTTTGTGATATTTATATAAATCTAGATTGTGCTTCAAATGTATGCAGACATTATTTATAGATACAGCTCTAGAGTCCAGACAAAAATTTTAAAATAATAATAATAATTATTATTATTATTATTATTGTTGTTGTTGTTGTTGTTGTTATTTAGTATGACCTAAAGAGAATAGATTATAAACATATGCTGCATATTGGATATTTGTTTGGATGTAAATAGTGACGCCCAGCAGGACAGCCATCTTGTACAAAACCCCATTTTAAACAGTTCAGCTTTCAAATCTTTTCAGTTCATTAATACAAGACCAGTTCATAAGAAGTTTCCTAAAGCATGTCCAACCTACACAGATTTTAAAGTACAGATCAGCATAAAGCCCTAGAGAAACGTCAGGTTAGAGCATAAGCTGACGGATATCACAGACAGAGTGTGTGAATGACCATGTGATGTAAAAATGTATGTTGGGTAAACGTTCATAAAACATTTGCATGAATCTCTAAAACCGTTTAGGCAGCAGAAAGGTTTTGTAGCACGCTCCACCCAGACTAGCCGTTAGCTCCTCTATTCGGTCCGAACTCATCTGGAGGCTGGTGAAAGAGCTCTCTACAGCAGGTAAGATATTAGTTCTTTATGGTCTTTCTACAGACCATGTGTTAGAATGTCTCAGATCCAGCTGTGATGATGCTGGCAGTCCTAAATGTTGAGCGAGCCATGGCTAACTTCTGGAGACATCTATGAAAACCTTACATAACAAAGCAAAAACACAGAATATCTGTTTCTGTGTGATTCAGGCCCTGTCCACACGTAGCCGGGGATCTGCCAAAACGTAGATATTTTTCTACGTTTTGGCCTGTCATCCACACGAAAACAGAGTTTTTTCACACGAAAACAGATCTTTTTTAAAACTCCGGCCAAAGTGAAGATCTGTGTTTTCTCCGTTTTGGGTGTCTGCGTGTGGACAGACAAAACCGGAGTTTTAAGGTCCACAACGTCACTTTCCTCAACAAAAAAATGCTGACATCACGTGTGCGACCTGTGTTTACATTAGCCGGCATCATGGAAGCCCTCAGAGCTGCACTCTGTCACTACCCGATCCATCAATTGTCCAAGCGCTTTCTGCTTGTTTGTTTTTGCAAGTGGAATTACTGCTCCTTGCGGAAGACCACAGACGAAGGACGAGGTTAAGAACGGGGGAAGTACTGCCGCCTACAGGTCTGGCATGTCCTTAACAACGTATTCATCCGGGTACGTGTGGACAGAGTTTTGTTTTAAAACGAGGTGGTGTGGATGCAAGTTTTTGGAGGGGCGGATATTCGTTTTTAAAAACCCCGGCTACGTGTGGACTAGGCCTCAGTTGCAGCACAGTCCAAGCCCTTGTCTACGTTACTCCGTTAGATTTTATATAAACATTTACTTCCCTGTTTACAACATATTTTATCTACACCAATCTGACAAAACAACACTTGTCTCTTCTCACCTGGAAGCAGCAATCTCTGCCTTCTGCTTGCCGATGGCTGCAGCCCTTTGTGCACCCTCCACCGCCCGCTCCACCTTCTGCTTGATCTTGGTTCCTTTCAGCTGGATCACTCTCTTCTTCATGGCTTTTACCAGCATGTTGTTCAGGTACTTGCCCTCCTCCTTCCCTCCCTCAGCGAACGTGGTGCAGCCATATCCGTGCCTCTGGTTGTTGAGCCACTCGCCCTCGTACTTCAGCCCGCTGGATCTTTCGCTAATTCCATATCCGGAGCGCTTGTCATTCTTCCACTCGCCCATGTAGACCTCTGTAGTGGTGGCATCAATGTCGGCCTCCACTGGGGGGAAATCCTCAGCCCCGGCCAGGCTCTCGTCGCCACTGATGGTGGAGTTAGTGTCGCTGGCATTGGAACTGAGCGCTGACTCCGTCCTCAGGAAGCTGATCTTGCTCTTCTGACTGGACAGGGATGTGCTGGAGTCCGACTTCTTCAGCTTCCCCAGCAGAGAGCCTCTGCGAAACAATCCCTTCTTCTTAGGCTTCACGGCCTCAGGGTCCACTTGGAGTGTGAGAGCAAAGCCTCCACGAGATGGACCTAGCTGGGCAGGAGTGGAGATGGGCGTCTCTTCACCTGAGGCGTTGGTGGTAGTGATGACAGGGATGTCTTGCTGAAGGACAGTGCCATTGCTGTGTTCACTGCGAAGTGAAGTCAAGGAGGTACGAAGAGGTGAGCGCACAACTGCTGCCATGCCGTAGGGGACACTCTGACGAACTCCATAACCGTGTCGCATCCCACCAGTGAACTGACCCTGGTAAGTACCTGGAAATGCAGGAAAACAGGAAGTGAGTCTCAACATAACAGAATAAGCAACAAAGGGCTATTATGGCCCTACGGGTCGACCACTTGGTCCACACGACGTCACATCAGCTACTGCTGGACAGGGTGTAAACAACTCCGTCCCAGAACACTGGTCTGAGATATTCAGATCAGGTAAAATGAGTTCAGTGTTTTATAAACATTCATGATGTCAGGAGGAAAAATGTCTTGATGAGTAAACATCCAGTCTCTTGATGATTCTTTCATTCATGTTACACCAGGGCCAGGCCCGTAGCAAGAAGGTGGGCAAACAAGGCAATTGCCTAAGGCCCCAAGCTGGTTAGGGGCCCCAGACAATTACTGCTTATGAAATAAGCACAGAAACAAACTGTATAAGCTTGGCCTAGGCCTTTTAGAGCTGCCTCTCACCCCCACCTGCGCACACCGCCCCTGCTACCCAGCCAGTACACACAGAATGGGATGGTGGAGGTTTTGTTACAAATGTAGACATGACCAGATGCAGTGCTGTGCAAGATGTGTAAACAGTTGTGCACTGAACCAAAGGTATTCGTTTCAAGTCAATGCAACAGTGTGTCAATGCTGTTGCTGTCTTGTAGGGTGGGCGGGGGAGGGTTCATTTCAAGGGTAATTTTGATGGAGGGGCGCGGGGAGGCAAACTCCATCTTGCCTTGGGCCCCCAAATGCCCTGAAAGGGCCCTGACCAGGGCCGGGAGTTCTGCCATCGTGCGTGTTGTATTAAAAACAACACAGGAGTTTAAGTGAAGGCTTTTTCGTTTCAGACCACACAAGTGTTCTGGCCAAAATATGATTCTAATTAGACATGTTTCAGGTCTTTATGTTGTTTATAACTGTAGAATTAAATGTGCATGACTGCAAATGACAGAGAAACGGATTCAATTTAATTCAATTCAAAAATACTTTATTAATCCCAGAGGGAAATTGGTTGCTGTAGTAGCTCAGAATAATAATAATAATAATAATAATAATAATAATCAAGCCATCAAAGAGTTGTTGTATATTACAATGGCTGTTGGCAGGAAGGATCTCCAGTAGCGGTCAGTGTTGCAGTGAAACTGAAGAAGCCCCTGACTGAAGACACTCTTCCGTTGTCGGACAGTCTTGTGAAGAGAATGCTCAGGGTTGTTCATAATTTTCTTGATTCTCTGGAGAATCCTTCTTTGCATTATCTCCTCCAGCGGTTCCCAAACTGCCGATACTCTGGCTGAGTCCTTGAAAGGGCTTGGAGTTCCTCCATCTTGTTGGCCAGTGATCTCACATTGCCCATTATGATCGATGGAAGAGATGGTTTGAATTTCCTCTTTCTCTGTCTCCGTTTTGCTCCCGCTCTGCACCCACGCTTCTTGAGTTTTAGCTCATTTGGGATTTGTGGCTTCAGTTTAGGTATTATTTCAGCCTTTCCAATGTTAAACAGCTTGTTGCCATGGTTACGCATCATAACAAATGCTCAAAAAGTGAAAAAGGCTAAAAAAAAATTGCAGTAAAAATCCTCCAAGCTTCACAGCACCAGAAACAGAAAAGTAAAGTGTCCAAAAATATTCCGTTTTTCTTGAGAAACTAGAAGAAAAAATGCCCAAGAAAAGGCAAAACTTACATATAGTAAACAGAGCTACTCCAACATGCAGCCACCCAGAGCAGCGCAGTTCCGGAGATAAATTCCAGATTGTACACTACTTTGGTCATTAGGGATTAGGATATTTTAATGGCAGTAATTCATTTCGTAGCTGGCTTCATTGGGAGGATGTTTACCAGCTTGGCAATTGACCTGCACTTGTTTATCACTTTATCAAGTCCAAGGACTCCAAAGACACTAGAGTCAGACGGGCGGAGCAGGCGTTTGAGTCCCACTGGTTGCAGGCACCCAACACCAGAGACGCTGTCTCCCCACTGAGCTTGTCCGTCTAGCCCAGGGGTGTCAAAGATGCGGCCCGCGGGCCGGATCCGGCCCGCAAGCGGGTTTAATCCGGCCCGCGAGATGGTTGTGTAAACTTTGTTTTCATACTTTACAATGCAGAGTGAAAATAAACTTATCATTGTGAGCAAGTTTTCTCTGTAATGAGTATAAATGCAACAAAGCTGCGCTCAAGGCCCACACAAGAACTTGAATCACATCCTGAAGTTGGCCGCCACTCAGGATGTGACTTCTGATATTGATGTGCCGGTGAAAGCTAAAAGATGTAAAGTAAAATGAGTCAAATATACTTTAAGTGCTGCATGAAACTGATCTAGCCATGTGATCTGTAAGCTCTTTGAATCACTAAGGAATGTTTTATTTATTGATTGATTTTTTATTTTTTTCAAATTTTCAAGTACACTTCAGGTGTTGTACTTGTACTACACTGTCCTCAGGCTCCAGCCTTGTTTCGTATTGATTGAATTAAAACAAAGAAAACAATCTGAAGTTTTTTTTTATTACCGGTCCGGCCCACTTGGGACTAGATTTCCCTCAATGTGGCCCCTGAGCTAAAATGAGTTTGACACCCCTGGTCTAGCTGGAACAAATTTCTGTTTCTCCAAACTAAGGTTGTTCAAAGACCCATCTACAACAGGTCAGACATGACCTTCACATGATTACACAATGCTTCTTCAGAACGATTGCAATTTCTACTTTAACTGTTGGAGTTCTGCCACAACTAATCAGTCTAAGCGAGCACAAAAAAGGTGATAACGCAGTCATTTTTACAGTCAGCAGCAATTCTCTGTGTTAGTAGCTGTCATTCCCCACGTCTTAGTACATAACCTACGTGTAATGTTTACTGAAAAACTGATTCTGGCATGAAAGCCGCAGATTTGTATTCATTCAAGGCCAAATTTAGAAGGAATATAGTTAGGATTAGTGGGATCTTTGATGTGCACTTTTAGTGTGCACAAATAGTTCGAATTAGGGTTAGGGTTAGGTGTGGACTTGCTACGTAGATGCCCTTTACCTAAACATCGTTATTTTAGAATGAAACTTGTCAAACATTGATGCTGTCACTGAGAGGTCCTCTGAGGGATGGTTGTCAGGCTAAAATCTGCATGTGTGGATTACAGCAGCAGCTAGGCCTCTCTCAGCCCAGGAGGCCAAGAGGGCATCGAGCTCGTGAGCTATTAATACACCCTGACATCTGCGCTAACACATCCCCCACCACAGCTTCCAGCAGAGCCCACTGGAAGCTGATGAGTCAGGAAATCACGGTGTGCAACAGGATCAATGACTTCTGTCCAACAACAGTTTCTACTTTGAAGTCAAACCAGCAGAAAAGCAGAAATGCCACAAAACAGGAAGAGGTTAAAACGGCCAGAATCACATTCTCTATGGTGTGTAGGTGAATTAGAAGCAATAAACCACCGGTAATCAGTGGAAGACAAAGATAAAGTACAAATCAAGTACTGTTTACTACTTCACATGTAAGTCAGAGGGAAAGACTGTTGTTCTAGGATCTCATGAGTTTATGGAACACACGTTTGACTGTTTTGTGTTTTTCCATCATTTTTTCATGGAGCAGATTTCTGCAAGAGTAGGATTTGAGACACGACTCGTGTCTGTGTGGTTTTTAAAAAGACGGACGTAGATGACGGTTTAGTTAAAGACAAATGAAAACATTCTGCAGGGTTTGATGTCCACCGAGCTCGGAGGGCTTTTGACTGACAGCAGCAGGGTGGTGTTTTCTTCTGGTTACACACACATCTTTAATGACCACAGGGATCGTCGGGCTGAACAGTTTTACTCCGGTATTACCCGGCATGTCTCATGAAACCATCTTGGTGCAGTGAACTACTCGCCAGACTTGGCTGGGGGGAGGGGGGGGGGGTTCTGTGGTAATAAATAAAATGTGGTATTCTGCAGTATACTCTACTGTGGTAGTGTAATCGGAACTATTTCAGGATATTTAGGATTTCGGTAGAGGTTCTGGGGCAGACAGGGGCCAACTGCTCTGCTAGAGAGACAGATTCATGAGAAAATAAGGTTGCTAACATTGATTTTAAGTATTTAAAATTCTAGAGTTTAATTATCGGAGGTGTGGCGTTCCCAAGAAGTAGGGCGGGCAATTTCCCCCAGAGGTCCAACAAACTTTGAACCGAGTCAGAACCTCAACAGCAGTGAGACGGTGAACATTTTCATTGAAAGCACCACTGGTCATCTAACAGTCCCTAAAGTGTCTCATCTGCAACAGACTGCAGTTTTCTATGTCTGAGGCGCCGAGACGTTCTAACAGCACCGCTGATAATTGCAGCAACACACAGTTGCTTCAGACACAGCAGCTTTTAAAGTCTAATGACACGTCTCAGAGACAACGTGACATGATATTTGTCTCAGCTGCTCTTTTCAACTTTAAACTCACTTGCTTTGGTTCCACATCTGGCACTGGTATTATTAGTAGTACTGTAAAAACTACAATCTGGTGCAAAAGTTCATTTTAGTCAAAAATTCAAATTCAAATGTAAAACTGATACATCAGATAGACTCACTCCATACAAAGCCAGATTTTTGTTATAATTGTGATGATTGTGGCGTGCAGCTTAGGAAAACCCTCACATTCAAAATATTCTACTCAAAGTGTCACATTCTAACCAGCTAAAGATCACACCTGCAAAGAGTTCCTGAGCCTTTAGATTGTCTCTCTCTAAGTTGAATTACTTTTACAAAAGTTACCAGTTACACCTGATGTAGCCTCAGCAGGGGCACAGGGGTCGAGGCTTGCCCACCCTGGCCTGGACCCCCGCCTGCACCACTGTGAGTGGTAACACTCCTCATTGGACCCATTTCTTCTCACACCCATAGTTACTTTCTGAGCGACTTCATGCCTCTCACCTCCATCCGCGTATGTCTCTGTTCCGTACCCATCCTGCAGCCCGTTGTTCCACGTCCCTTCGTACTTGGCCCCGCTGCCCACGCTGACCCTGACCCCGTACCTCCCTTTGAAGCCATGAGTCCACTCTCCTCGGTAAATCCAGCGTCCTTTGGTCTCTACTCCCAGACCGTGGCGCTTTCCTTGAGACCAGTAGCCCTCATAGGTGTTGCCGCTGGGCCATGTGTAGACGCCGACCACCTCAAAGCCGTAGTTCCAGGAGCCCGAGTACTCGCCCTGGCCCTTGGGTCCGGTACATATGCCATGTCCGTGGGCTTTCCCCCCCTCCCAGCCTCCACAGTAAGCTCCACCGTCATCAAACTCAAAGCGTCCTCCGCTCATCCCAACACTCCAAAACTCACAAGAAAGCAGAGAAATCTGTGGGCTTTATCTTCATCTGCTTCCTGGCTGAAGATAAGAGCTCAGTCGGTCTGATTCCACTTTCACCTGACATCAAAACTCACGGCTGATGAATCCTTGGCGCTGAACTTTGGTAGACTTCTTCTACTGGAGATGGACTACAGACACAGCCACTTCATTCTGTTCCTCACTCTTCTTCTTTGTTTCACTTTTCTTTTCCTCCTTAGATTAGTAGTCAACCATTAAACTTCAGAATAGCTTTTGCCGTGTTACAGATTACCGGTTGTTGAACAGATTTGCATTTATGTCTGGAAAAGCCGGGGATCTTCCATGGCTTCTCAGGAGGCATGAGAGAAAGCCCCTTTCCCCCTGTCCCTGCTGCCACCCAGCTCTCTCCTGACAGCAGTCAGTGGTGGAAACACTTCAGCAGACCTAACAAGGGAAGCAGCACACACACACACACACACACACACACACACACACACACACACACACACACACACACACACACACACACACACACACACACACACACACTTCCAAAAATACAGCCCAATCCTTACTGCGCTGCCTGCAAGAAGCCAGGACAGTCTTGAACTAGACGCTTCTTTCCTGCTCAACCTGAGCACCAGAGTCCAGTTAAAGGTGCAGTATGTAAGAAGATAGTGAGAATTTTACAAAATCCCAAGAGTCTAATGTTTCGGTCATTTAGGAAGGAAGGTTATACTGAAACATGTTTCATATCCAGCTGGCTGTGGGGATTGTACTTTTTTCTCTTTTCAAAACAAAGGAAGGAGGGAGGTAACTACTGTTTACTATCAGTGAGTGTGGGGGTGCCGTGTGTCCTCTGAGCTAATATTGCAGCGCTGACAGTTGTAATTCGACAACAGCATGCAAAAAGCTCTGGAGTTGTTTAAAGTAGTTGTAGTTACCACATTTTACCACAGGATGTAATTTTTACTTCATTTCTACATAATGCACCTTTAAAGGAGTTACAAGTAACACAATGCAGGATCACCTTTACAATAATGGTTACCGCTTACAATAATGTGTTACTGCTGCAAATTAAAGGTAAAGATGACAAGAAACGCGGCTCTTCTACAACCCAAATTTCATCATTGACTCAACTATATATTAAGTGCATCATACTGTGAAAAGGAGCTCAGCGGCAGAATGGATGTTAAAAGCCCCAAGGAGGAACCGTGTGACCCAATGCCCCATGGGTGGATTAGAGAAGTGAGGCAGAGAAGAACAGGCAAGACAGCAGGAAAACTGGATGTTTACATAACAAGGTATCTTATTTTTCTCCACCCTGATATTTAATTCTAGATCATGTCTAAATAACGTTTCTGTTATTTAAGTCCTGCAGGGCAGAAATTCCGCTCAAGAGCATCCTTGCATGCATTCCTGTTAAAAGGTGGAGGAGTAAACCTGGACATAAACTTTTCTGATTTCACTACATCCAGAGACGAGTTACCTAGCTCATCATCACTTCATTCTAAAGAGAAGCAGAAGAAGTTCACCTGTAGGACAGACAAACCTCTTAACAACAGATTTACATTTCAGTCATATACCATTCTTACAGATGACCTCTTGACCTTTAAAGCCACTACAGTAGAACAATACAAGGGTTTGGATATTTTCGACCCAACCAGGAGCTGCGCCGTACAAAGATCTCCACCATTTTCTGGATTACACGATTGACCATCACAAATACAGAGATGTGAAAACTCATCACATTTGTGTTTGTAAAAATAAGTTTAAGTTTAAATAAGTCACAGATTTAAGTTCAAGTTGTGTTTTTGAAAACCTCCTAATGTTTTTGTGACTGATTGGTTTATAAAAGCTTGCTGTCTGATTATAGAGTCCAAGACACGTGTCAGACACAAGGCCCGCGGGCCACATGTGGCGCGCGGAGCATTTTAATGTGGCCCGTGAGATAAATATCAAAAATATATTAAAACTGACCCACTAGCCGATTTTACTGCAAAGATTACAACTCCCATGATGCTACCATGATGCGCCATTAGCGTGGAGCCGAAGCGCCCCCTCCTTTGTGTTTTTTCCAGCGCCTGCTGCCGGTGTCTGCAGCTCCGCTGTCTTGGACAAACTAAACACTCCTCTCACTCAGCGACGAGTTGACGCAGCTATTTGCCGACGTTGAAGCCCAGAAACTGAGATTTTAACCGCTCAGTAATGTGTTCAAATCAACCAGGTTGTGTGATCGTGTTTTTTTAACTTACGCCGCTGTCCAGAGTGCATTTAGAGACTGTCACGCATGCTTTTGTTCTTTCAAGGCTCGACTACTGCAATGCACTGTATGCCGGCCTTAGTCAGGGTGCGGTAGCACGCTTGCAGTTAGTACAAAACTCAGCCGCTAGGTTCGTGGCAGGCACTAGGTGCAGGGAACATATCACCCCTGTGTTGGCATCCCTTCACTGACTGCCTGTGCAATACAGGGCAAAATTCAAGGTCTTGGAACTGACATACAAGGCCTTACAAGGAACTGCTCCAGCATGTCTTGGCAACATTTTGCATAGACATGCCCCCTCGTGGGCCCTTCGCTCAGCCGGCAGGGAGCTGCTGATCGTTCCATGCACTAAGTGCAGGTCACGGGGGGACCGTGCATTCTCGGTGTTGGCACCTGCACTTTGGAACCAGTTGCCTTTGGTGGTGCGTCAGTCACCCTCATTGGGGATTTTTAAGACTCGCCTTAAGACCCATTTTTTTGTCAAGGCATTCCAGGATTAGCAAATTTGACCCGGTTTCGATGCCCCGGCCTCTTAATCTTTTTCAGGATTTTATTTTTTGCTTTTACTCTCCTCTTTTAATTGATTTTATGTTGGTTTTACGATTGTTATATTTTATTCTGACAGTTTTGTGTTTTTATTGTATTGTGTTCAGCACCTTGGGCATCTGCATTGCTCGCAGAAGGGGCTTTATAAATAAATGAAATGAAAGTTTTGCAACTAACTTCCAGACAGAGCTGATAAAACTCCAGCGAGCTCAAATCAGCTTGACTCTGTGGCTGCTGTAGTTTTTATTTTTCCTCCCCGACGCACAACAACGTGGTCAAGCTGCTCAGATGCTCTCCATGTTCATCAGCACAAACATGTGTGAGCACCTGTTGTATCTAATGTTGTCATTATTATGATGAAGATGAACAAAACAACAGGAGTCTCCTCAGTGCAGAGCTCCTCAACCCCATGATGCAGGTATCTGGCTGGAACAGGTGAGCATCACAGTACATCAGTGGAGCAAACTGAGCTTTAAATATTTTTGTTTTATGCTCTTTTTCTGCTCCAAAACATGAAAGTTAACGGGTGAGATGTTGCATTTTCATTTAAGATAAAATAATAGTTTTATTTTGTTGTTGGGCCGTGAGAAAAGATTTAATACAGTAAACAGGAAGTGGAAAGGCTGCAGATAGATGAATAGAATAGAAAATCCCTTTATTGTTCCTCAGTGGGGAAAGCTAGATGCCACAGCAGCGATGACACGTATTACAGGAGGAAAAAGGAGAATAAAAAATAAGATAAATGAATAAACAACAAGAAAACATAAATCCTGAATAGATTTTTAAAATGCTGATTATACACTAACGAATACCACTGATGCGTTGTGTTAAACATTGACTTGCTCGTGTGTAATTTGGTTATTCCACATTCAGTGTTGATGCAAAAATAAGTTTGTTTTCCAAATTAAAAGGTTCAAAATTGCATATATGTTGATAAAGTGTGCAAATTTGCCGTCACTTTTTCAAAAAATATTAAGTTTGGCCCGCGACTCCGTCCCAGATTTTCATTTCGGCCCCGTGTGAATTTGAGTTTGACACTCCTGGTCTAAGAGTTTGGAGAACAAGTCCTTATTTCAGCAAGAAACCTCTCAGAGTGTAGACCAGACAATACCTGTATTGTCGGGGTTTAATCTATAACTAGTGGCTCTGCAGATATGTGGATCTTTCTCTAAGATTCAGATTTGATTTAGATACCTGCAGGCTCAGGATTCTGGAGTTTGAACACAACACTGCAAGATGCGACCATGTAAGAAAAAATGTTTTTAATTTTTTTTATAGAAAATACTTTTATTTCTGCGTGCATCTCCTGCAGCGTCCCTCTCACAAGCTTCCACATCTACGTGTTCTCCTGGTGACTTGCCTCCTGTCAGACAGAGTCACAACTTCAGGCTCCCTCCAATCACCTCAGTCATCATCTCAGATCCATCCTGCCTGTGGAGAACCAATCAGGTGAGCAGTAGTAGAAGGTCCGGTTGGTTTATGCTTGATGTGCAGACTCAGAACTTCAAGCTGTAATCCACGAATCTGCTCCTTAAAGAGCATCCCAAGACTGAACCCTTTGCACCCACATCTGGTCCCCAAGCACCTGCTGTTCACCATCACAACCACCAGAGGGCGCTATTGGTGCAAAGAAAAGAGCTCCACAGGTGAAAACTGCTCAGGTGTGAATGAACATTACCTTTGCTTTTAAATGTCAGAGTTGAAATGAGATGCATTTGATGTGTCAGGTGTCATCAGGTGTGGAGAAAACTTTTTATGGAACCGCTACAGAGAGAGAAGAGTACAGGTAAAGCTGTCACCCTGCCCTGGTCAGGCCTTCCACCTCATTTAAGAGACTGCTTTATCTGCAGGAAGGAGATACGAAAGCTGCTAAAGAGGCAGATGGAGGAGAAGAGCGCACAAGTGAAGCTGCAACGAATCAGTAAAGCGAATGAAGCTGAGCATCTCCTAGAGGTGGACCGACTCGCTCTGTCCAGTGAAAAACAGCAGAGGATTCAGCACAGCAAAGCATTGACAGCCTACAGACATGAGAACAAGCGGGTACAGCCCCACATATACATAATGCATCTGAAATTAATGCTTTCTGTGTCCTAAAGGGTCCTGGAAATGCTTCCTGAAGCATGATCTCAGGTTGCAGCAGAGCGACTGGGGCTTATTTCCTCGTCTCTGGGTTGTTTGTCTTTATGTGCATAGCTAATGGAACGGAGCTGGAGGGACAGAGCGCAAACACGTTCCCAGGAGGCCCTGAAAGAGAGAGAGCTGCTGCACCTCAACCCCATTAACTGGAGTGGAACACTGAAGTAGTCTGAACCTCTCCAGCTCCAAGGAGGCCTGATGGATCGGTGCTGCCTGAATACAAAACACAGCAAGAAGCCCAGAGATCAGATTTATTCTAATGAAACGAGTCTGTGAAGAGATCTAATCTAGGGACAGATATATTTATATAAAACAAATCAGGCAAACTACAAACCCTGAAAGGGCTGACATCCTCTCAGAGGAGCTGTGTTTAAAAGTCTGGTGTTGTGATCAATTATGGAAGCACATAACATATTATTATAGAAGGGTTTCGCCCATGACGTTTGGTTAAAATAAATAAAAATAGTTAAGTCATAATCCTGACATGTTTCAGCTCGTGTTTGTGCCATTTTCTACCCTCTGAAGAACCACAAATCTTGTTTATATAAATCTGTGACAGGATTCCAGAAATCCCAAAATCATGACCACTGAGACAAAAACTCCAATAAAATCAATGTTTGCTTTGTAATTTTTGTCTAACTTCCACATTGCATGACTGTCAACGTTCTTTTCATTATGGTTCTAAAACAATAAAAAGTGCCTTTTTGAGTGCGTTGCTGTTTTCTCCTCCCAACTTTTCTCCTGTGTCTGCGTTTTTAGGAATTTAATGTAGGAAATGTATTAATTTGTAATATAGGAGTTCCACATCCAGAGGAGTCAGTTGAGGTGGCTCGGGTATCTGGGCAGGATGCCTCATGGACGCCTCCCTGGTGAGGTTTTCCGGGCACGTCCAACTGGGAGGAGACCCAAGGGAAGACCCAGGACACGTTGGAAGGTCAATGACTCTGAAGTTGCAAGTCCGGTTTTCTGACCGGGGGGTGGGGGGTTCAAGTGACTCTTCATTAGGGTCAGTCTAACACTGCTCAAGAAAATGGTCTAAAAAAGAGGAAAAAGATGCATAGCATGCCTTTAAAAACATCATTTTTTAAGTAGCTGAACTTGAGCATTTTTTCTGAACTATAAATAAAATAAATACATTTTCTGCATTTTTTTTCTTGAAATCAAAATTTTGACCTGTTGAGTTTCTGCGAAGATCAGAGAAAGACGAACAAGAATCTCATTAAAATGTTTTAAACCGATGCAAAGGACTCAGTCAGTAAAGATAAATACGGTGGATGCAAATGAAGTGATGCTTGTTCTGATGCCCCTGAACCTGTTGGACTGGAAACCTGCTACAAAAAAACAAACAAAACAAAAAAACAGAATTCTACAAACATACATTTTGCTTTTCAGCAAAAAATAAATAAATAAGGACTACAAATCCCAGACTGCAGCTGGTATTTAGTAGTGCCGTGTTGCTAAAACCGAAAAATCAATTCTGAGTACATTCCCATCGAATTTAATCGATTCATAAGCTCATAATTTAATTGTTTAACATAATTTGCCTGTTTTACAGCTAAAATCAGTCCAGATGGCCATTTTAAGGTTTAGGCCTGAAAGGGTTAATATGGTTGAACTGTAACTCGCCCAGGCAGACAATTAAGGTAAGAACTCAAACAAATATTTTAATAGCACTGACTCATCAATAACAGATTTACGGGATTGGATCGTGATAACCGATTCAGACTCTTGAGAATCGGAATTGAATCGATTCTTGACGTTTGAACCAAAACTCAGCTTCTGCACATTCCCTCACACACTCATTAAACATGAAGAACAGCGATCTGACAGCTAAAACAAACATGTTGCATGCCAACAAAGGAAAACTCTAAACAGTGCAGCACCTCTCTTTCAATATTATAATGCAATTAAATAAATAAATAAATAATCGGGTAGAAGGAAGAAGTCATCCAGTAAAAATAAACAGTAACAAAACATCATCCCACAACAGTTTCTGGGTAATTTGAGTGAGTTGCTTTTCCCTCACCTAATCTCATGCCCACAGCTATAATCTGAAGTGCAACAGTAATCTGACAGATGGGACAATCTCATCTTTAAAAAGGAAACAGACATGATGGCTGCAGGGTTTCACGGTGCAAAAGAAAATGTTTTCTTGCTCGACATCCAGATGCATATCAGAGTTTTAAGTTCAAAGCCAGTTGGTGTCTTTAAGTTGGTTCGGCTCTTGTAGATCACAGCAGAATCACAGCGTCACAGGCTTCAAGCTCTCCCCTTTTCTTGCATAACTCAACTCAAACAGAAATGACTCCCAACTCCACCGTCACCAGTAAATCCCTGAAGATCTGGCACTGGGAAGGCAGATTCCCACCCCCAGCTGAGTCACCTCTACCCACGGGTCCTTGTGTTAAATCGTAGCAACAGACGGTCTAACGTCCCTTCAGAAACCCATCCAGCATGTAGTCTCCTTTCTCCGTCAGCCAGTATCCGGCCATAGCGGCTACTCCCCCGATAAAAATGGCCGTGAAGACCATGTCGCCTTTGGCGGCGAGAGTAGCGATTGCACAGATTATAACTCCGAAGAACATCTGCTGCAGGACGAGGATCTCGTCATCGGTCATGTCATCAAACAAGCCTTTCTCTGGGTCAACTGAGGAGGCAGGAAGAGAAGAGGGTTTAGGCGGAAACTAAAGTTAAAACCTTTTGTACCACTGCTTCAGATCTAGAATGCCCCACTACTCACTCGGGGGCTTATTCTCAACACAAATGCTGTCTCTCCGGATAAAGCCGTCAGCACAGTCGCAGTGGAAGGAGCCCTCCTCGTTGATGCAGGCCTCGTTGAGCCCCGGGCATGCTATTGCTCGTTCACTACATTCATCAATGTCTGCATCAAAAGCAAAAACGATACTGCTTTAGAGGCCACCGCGGGCAATGAAGGAGTAAAAACATCTGAATATTTCTTACCGAGACACTTGGCTCCTTTTAATCTGTAGCCACGTGCACATTTTTTACAGCGGGCAGGACCACTGCCCATACAGCCCACACACGCCGGGTCACAGCCTAATTACAAAAGTGTGTTATTACTCTGCTTACTGTAAAACAGCATAGTACCACATACTATTAATAATCACCTGCAACTAAGGAGACCCACTACTACACCAAATGAGGGGCACTTAGGAAGCTGAGGAAGTGGAATTCAGAAACAAATCTCAGACTTTTCTACATTAAAGGGACTTTACGGACTTTTACATTTTTATGCTCGCTATTGCCCCTTCAGGCCAAAAGCGTAACAGCAGCTTCAATAGTAGGCTTGTGCATGAGGCGCGTGCACACTCCTTGAAGAAAATAACAGCTGAGACAGTCCCTTGTGTGTGTGTGTGTGTGTGTGTGTGTGTGTGTGTGTGTGTGTGTGTGTGTGTGTGTGTGTGTGTGTGTCGGAGGACAGAGGACAGGAGAACGTGCAGCTAATTAATTAAATAATTTGGTTCTGTACCTTTCTCTTCAGCACAGCCGACAAAGGTTTATGATGGGTCAGTCCTCCTGCATGCTCAGATCATTCCCTTCCCTTGCTTGAAAAATTGTTCCAAAATGAAAGTTGAACCCCCATCTTTTTTATCTGTGAATTCAATGTCGTTCAGCGAGTCTCAAATAAAAATTTGGGCATCTTACTGTAAAAAAATATACCATTAATGTAAAATCGAAACTCTAAATAAATTATGATCACACCCAGAATCGAACCCAGGTCTTCTGCATGAGAGTCCGCCATCTTACTAGGTGCGCTATAACACCAGTGACGTCTTTTGTATCTGTAACTTTTATATTCCTGATGACAGCTGAAACAACGTTCAAACCAAAGAACGGTTCGGAGTGAAAATGGCTATTTTGTTGCTAATTTGCAGGAAATATCTAGAAGAAAGTAGCTAAGGGTCCTCAGAAATGTAGCTAGCTTTGTCACTAGGCATTAGGAACAGCAACAAAGTCGCTGAGTTGGCACTACCTCTCTCTCTGCTGCTAAAACTACAGATAGCAAATGCTACGGGCTATGCCTGAGCGTGAACGCGCATGAAGCAGCCTGCTCGACCCGAGCAGCTCTCTTTTTCTGTGATTTTACAGAAAAACAGGCAATCACAGTAAAAATGCCAGGGCTCATTCTACAGGACCAGGGCATTGCAGGAGAATGTATGAAGAAGAAATGTATTATTTCTATTCATGTTTTGGCTGTCAAGCTTCCATAATGCCCCTTTAAATTCAAATTTACATGAAAAAAAACTAGAATATTCTTTGACGCTGTAAAGTTTTGAATTTGCTTTTAAAAAGTCTAAATTTCCATAATTAAATACGTGTTATAAAACTGAAAGTACCATCTTTGGTGATAATTTGTAAGTTTAATGTAATTGTTTCTCTTATATTTGCAAGAACAAAAGGAAGTTTCACCAAGATTAAAGTTAAACATTATTATGCTGTAATAATCTCACGGTGTGTTCACATAGAAGCAGCTTTAACCCACGAGTTAGAATTACCTGACCTGCTGAGAAAGAGCACTAAGGAGCGTACCTCTGCATTCATATGATCCATCGGTGTTGTGACAGTAGGTGTTGGAAGGGCAGCGGGCCAGCTCTGTACCACACTCGTCATTGTCTGCGACACACATTCAAGTCAGACGTCCACAGAGCCAGACACAGAACCACAGACCTGACTGATTCATCTCTGAGGCCAAACTCACCCACACATTTGTTGTTGTGAAGGATCCAGCCAGGTTTGCAATCCAGGCATTTGTAGTCCTGTGGTCCTTTGCATCTCTTACAGGAGTGGTAGCATGCTACAAAACACAGACGTGGTCAGTTTCAGGTGACCTCAAAAGTAACTGAATGAAGTGAAAATAGCTGTCAGAGCGAATCACCTGCACAGGCTCCTGAACTGTCGTTGGAGCTCTTCTCTCTGTAGTAGCCATCTGCACAGTTCTGGCACAGGTGGCCTGAGTATCCTGGATCACACACACACTCGCCATCTCCCAGACGAGTGCCCTCCCCCTCGCATCGACCCAAACCTCCACACACTCCCCCAGGTCCAGATGGACACTCTGTGTAGGAATACACATCCTTATCTTTAAAGCTCAGCCTTGGAATGAACTCTAATCACTCAGCTTCAAATGTTACGGTCAATTCAAAAGAAATGAGCAAAGATGTGTGGAGTAACAGGAGTTCTCAAACCTTTGCACTCAGGTCCATAACGTCCAGGTGGACAGCAGAGCCTCAGCTCTTCTATGCAGAGCCAATCGAAAAGATCCGGAGCCTCTTGCTGCCTTTAGGACGAAGAGGGTTTGTCATGAAAAATGGGACAACAGTACATTTTGGACTGGTAGGATTTCACAGCCAAGACTCTCTATAGGATATTTAGCAAAGATGACTTACCCACAGATGGACTACTCATACCTGACGCACCAAAATGGCAGTTTTCTACTCCGTTCTGTAGCTTCAGAATATAGCACACTTACCTGTGGAACCACCATGTCTCCACCTGGTCTTCGATCTGCTCCAGCAGCTTGTTACATTCAAATTCTGTCTTCTCACAGGCACCTTCTACTATCTCCAAGAGCCGAGTCTCGCTGAAACGGAGAGGCACTTTTTTAAAGATGTAGAACTTTAATGATCACAAACTTCAGCATGTGTCCAGTAACACAAGTAGGACTAAGTCAGAGATGGTCCAGATCCTCACTGCTCAGCTGATGGATGCAGATTTTAGAAGCACCTAAAGCTACCTGTGTGCATATTTGGCCAGCTTCTCCTCCTCCCATGCAGTGTTTCCTCCTCCAAAGTTCTTGTTGGCAGTTTTCTCTAAACCCTACCAAAGGAGAGAATTTTTACAGGACTGGAGTTTAAAGACACATAGCTAAAAGCAGGAACTTAGCAGCACCTTTATGAAACTTTCAGTGAGTTTTCTGCAGGTTTGACATGGTGCTGTCTGAACTTTCACCACAGAGAGCTCAGAGAGAAGCACCAGAGCTGGTAGGAAAGGCCAGGCCAACCACATGATCCTTTAGAGGACACTGAGACGGAAAAACATTCAAGAGAAAATTGCAAGTTAGAGACTCCCATGAACCAATGTTTAGAGAAACATAATAGAAACTTGCTTAAAACATTTTTACACATACATGAATTATTTAGGCTTTTAGAGTAATTTATGTGAGATTTTTTTTACCAGAAACTAAAATGGTAAAAAAAAAAAAAAAAAAAAAACGGTTTTGTTTCCTTTAAAGAACTAGGAATTTGCGCCCTCTGCTGGCGAAAAACAAAATACTCTGGTTTCCAGCAGCATTGAGAAAAGGGAAGATGGGGAGTTGCTGCCCTCCAGTGACTGAAAACTCCCACTACACCTTTGTTCTTTTTATCCATTCAGAAGAGAATGTTTTAGCCTCCTAATCTTAATGAAGCTTTAGAACATCCAAGTCTATTTTTCTTCTTCAGATTATTGTTATTGAGGAGGATAAGTGGGATGGGTAGAAAGAGGAGGAACTAAATTAATAAAGTTAAGAGTTCCTTAGTAGAAACACTTGCTCTAAAGTAGGGAAGCACCAGAATGAATTTTTTGAGCAGATACCGATATTAATTACCACTGTTATGGCCAATAACCAATATATGCCAATACCGATTTACGCTTCTGAAATCAGCACATTTTGTATACTGAAATTATGCAAAGTGAAATTTTGAATGTTTTGCTTTATTTCTATAAATTGGAATTTGCATTATGTTTAACACACACACACACACACACACACACACACACACACACACACACACACACACACACACACACACACACACACACACACACACACACACACACACACACACACACACACACACACACACACACACACACACACACACACACACACAGGTCAGATGATTACAGAAATGTACGTTTATAACTTATATTTCGGATTCAAATGAGTTTTATCTTGACTGTTTATCTGTAATCTGACCTGCTTAAGGGGTTGTTGTTTATTTTGTTCTTTCCAGCAGGTGTATTTTATGTAAATGATAAAACCAGTTTACCTTGAGGGATGTTAAAGTCTCCCAGTAAAGCACAGGAAACACTTGAGATGTCAGACGTTGGGCTGGGTTGTTTGTGGGTAGTTTTATTACCTGCTAGAGCTGCTCTCTGGAAGACTAAAGTCAGCAAACACAGAGACCGCAGACAAAAGGTCCTACTCACTCGAGATGGAACTTATACTGAAGTCTGAATTGTTCTAGCCTTAATAATAAAGCATTTTAAATGATGCACGAGCTGTAACTATGGTAACGCAAGATTCCATAGCTTTACCATAGTGACAGTCTATCATAGGTGACAGACAGCGCTCCATAGGGAGCCTAAGTCACGCCCATCTACTTCTGGACCACGGGTCCCCAGAAAAACAATAAAATTAATGCAAGTCAACGGGGCTAAAGACGCTATTTTCTAATTCTGCTTGTTATGTGCCATGGATTTCACATATGATGTCCGTGATTCAAGATGCATTTTCATACCAAGAATGTGCTTATTTTCGAAAGGGGGGGGGGGACGTTATTTTAAGTTTTGTGTAATAAGTCCAGGACTACAAATGCACTTTATGAAAGTGACATCATCGAAGCAGACACAGAGAAAAACTGAAGGGAAAATGGCAGACGTCATATATGCAACGTGCCGATGTCGGATTTGTGGTCATGCTAACGTTGAACTTTTACAAGCTGATAAATTTCAAAGCACGTGACTGGCGTGATTGAAACACCCATCGTTGGATTACATTTAAATTGAAGTACAACATATGTGTGATCCAGGACGTAAGGCAAAGCGGATTAGAAAATAGCGTTTTTAGCCCCGTCGACTTGCATTCATGTTTTCGTTCTTCCGGGGACCCATGAGCCAACCGGGAAGGGAAGAGACCTAGGCTCCCTATTATAGTGAAGTAGGAAGTACAGATAGTAGCTTTAAAAATTAGTGAAGTAAAATTAAAAAGTAGACCTGAAGAAAATAAGTAAAGTACAAATAAAGAAAGCTTTAAATATTATATTATATTCAATAACTTTATTACTTTTTAAAAGATTTATTTTTTGTTTGCATTTTAAATTCTGTCATCCTGTCCCTCTAAACGCGATTCAACATAAAAGGAGCCATCATCAGGTGTACCTCTTATGCATAATAATGATCGGATCACAGACCAGATGTTTGATGACGTAGAAATATATTCAATAAAAATACATCAGAACTTAAAGAAGATGATACAATCCTCTTCAGACAAATAAACCGTTTGACAAAGAAATTTCTCTTTGGCCTTGATGCTCATATAGCAGTAAAGGTTTTAAATATAAACAGAGATTTCAGTTTTTCTGGTAGTGTTTAATCAAAGAGCAATGTGACAAAAACTGTAAGTTACTTAGAAGTTAAATACGTACATAAAGATAACCTGCAGTTGAGCCTCTTGACTTTTCTGTTTGCTAAATCAAGCCAAGTGACTCTTCTATTAGCTGATGGATTCATTTTTAAATGTAAACAAGTCAAAATAGTTTGTTCCCTTAATGTTATTAAAGTTATAACTTATTCACTGATGAAAAAGTGGCATTTATTTATATTTCTGTCAAACTGGTGGAGAAATAAAGATCAGTCCCTTCTCCAGACACCACTACTGTACTCGGCAGATAGCATGTAGGCCTAGTTATAGAAATGTACATTTATAACTCATATTTCAGATTCAAATGAGTTTTATCTTGACTGTTTATCTGTAATCTGACCTGCTTTAGGGGTTGTTGTTTATTTTGTTTTTTCCAGCAGGTGTATTTTATATAAATGATAAAACCAGTTTACCTTGAGGGAACTTAAAGTCTCCCAGTAAAGCACAGGAAACACTTCAGAACAATGTGAAAGTCTAAACATGTCAGATGTTGGGCTGGGTTGTTTGTGGGTAGTTTTATTACCTGCTAGAGCTGCTCTCTGGAAGACTAAAGTCAGCAAACACACCGATTGTAAACCAGCTTGTTGCCATGGTTACGCATCATAACAAATGCTCAAAAAGTGAAAAAAGCTAAAAAATAGCAGTAAAAATCCTCCAAGCTTCACAGCACCAGAAACAGAAAAGTGTCCAAAAAATACAGTTTTTCTTGAGAAACAAGAAAAAAATGCCAAAGAAAAGGCTAAACTTACATATATTCAACAGAGCTACTCCAACATGCAGCCACCCAGAGCAGCGCAGTTCCAGAAATAAATCCTTGTTATTGTGTGAGAAAAAAAAAGTGTAGAAATTAAAACCGGCGTGTGGTAATAGGGAAATAGCTGGCGAACCATGTTTGCGCATGCACCTTGAGTGGTTCTGGTGCTGTTTGGGCCGCAGCAGCTCGCTGTGCTACTTCAACAGTTATCCTCCTAGTTTTTGTCTGGCTTGCAGCTAGTAGATTCTCACACGAGGGGAAAATCGGCTCAGGTTGTATACTTATTTTTTGCACAGGCATTTGTTCACTGTGAAGTAAAGTTGAAGTGCTGAAGTTTTGAAAACTAATTTTGAATAAAACTTAAAGAATAACTGGCAATTGCATGCTCATTTTAAGAGGTCTTTCATATTTTATAACATGCTGTTTGATTAGGGATGGATACCGAATTCGGTACTTTTTAAGGTACCGACCGAGCACCAATTCACGTCTTTTCAAATGGTGCCTCGTTTCGGTACCCATCCTTCATAACGAGAACTTGCCAAGACAGCTGCGCAAGAGCGTTATGTCGTCGGTCCCTGACTCCTGCGAGCCAGTTGTAAACAGAGCAGCATGGTAGAAAGAACGCACGCTAACGCTTGGGTCCACTTCACTAAATGTGATGGGTAACTGGGTGATGATGAAACCAGCGACAGACAACGATCTCAGTGAGACATCCTCATCTTAATCTGCTCCGGTAGGTAAATAAAATGTTTAAGATAACGTTAGCTTGATTTGTTAGCTTCCGTTTCACTAATGGTGCGTTCGCTTTCTCCTCGGAACTCCGAATTTCCGACTAGAAGAACATGAACGCGCTCTAACGTTTGGCTTCACTTTACTAAATGCGACGGGTGATTGGGTGAAGATGAAACCAGCGACGATCTAAGTGTGAGGCATCATCGTTTTAATCTGCTCCAGCAGCTAAATAAACTGTTAAAGATAACGTTAGCTTGATATGTTAGCTTCCATTGCCACCGTTGTTATCAGCTAATGGTGCGTTCGCTTTCTCCTCGGAAATTCTAACTTCCCAGTAGGAAAAATCAAATGAAAAAGACGGCAAAAGGAATGAAGATACACAGTAAATCACAGTAAAGATGTTTGCTTCAGTTTAATTATCAGCTTATAAAACTACAAGGACGATTTTAAAATACAAACAGTTGTATGTTGTTTATCATGATATTTGTCAAATATTGTTATATATTGAGAAAAATATATATTTAATTATAAAAGAGAATTAAAATAATAAACACTCAAAAGCATCAAAAATTGGTACCGTTAAGTACCGGTATCGATTCGTAGGTACCGGGAATTAGTACCGAATCGATTCAAATGTCAAAGGTACCCATCCCTATGTTTGATATAATGGTTTACAAACACAAAAGGGTAATTTATTAGAGTACTCGATTAATCGATAAAAGATTTGATAGAGTACTCGATTACAAAAATATTCGATAGCTGCAGCCCTAATTACCATCACTGTCACAGGACTAAACAAGTACACATCATCACCCCTCCTTACCCTCTGACACAGATACACAAACAGAAACAAGATGGAAAAAATATCGGTTGTTATCATCGGCCCAGTTTTATTTATACCGATACCGATATGTTCAAAAATGACTAACATCGGCCAATACCGATATTGATGCCGATATATCGTGCATCCCTACTCTAAATGCTTCCTACCACTGTGCATTGTTGCCTTGAAAGAATGGGAAATGTACACACTCTGCTGACCAAAAAATAGAACACTGGTTTCCAACATTTAAAAAGGGGGGAGATAGCAGTCGCTGCCATCTAGTGTCTGAAATATGTTATAACATTTTTATTGAAGCTCTAAAAATATGTTAATCTTTCTTTTTGTCCTCTTGGGAATATGAACATTAAGGAAGGGAAGGAGGAAGGAACTGGATTTATAAAGTTAAGATTTCCTTAGTAGAAGCACTTCCCCTAAATAATTCCAAACACATTGCCTTGAAAGAATAAGGAATATGGAGAAAAGTACCATTGGTACAGGAAAGAAACTTGAAAATTTAAAAATCTCTCTTGGGTGCTACATTTAGGTGAGTACAGAATGGCTTTGGAATGTCTTTTTTACAAATGCATAATTTCCACAGAACACAGGTATTTAAAAAAACACATCAGAAGCTGCAGTTTAGCTCAGGTGAGATGCTGCTGCTTCAGAGTTAGCATAAATTAGCTCTGCAACATCAGCACCAAAAAACAGCAGCAGGCTAAGGTCACCAGTTAGCCGCTAGCTTTAGTTAACATCTATTTGTCTGATATTCTTTTTACTGATTGAACTTGGTGACCTGCCAATATTAAATATATTAATCCGTTTGGTGTGCTTTTACGATGTGAAGTTAGCTAACCGCACAGCTTTGGAGAGATAGCCTGCTGGTCTTACCCTGTCGATGAACCACCACGTCCGCTGCGCCACCTTTGGATCGTCTGAATCCCAGCTGAAACACGGTCTCTTCAACACACCGGGACACTTTCACATTTTGGGATGCCACTTCTGATAAAATAAAGAAGACATTGCAAACCAAAGGCTTCGATTCGTTTGCTTCTGTGCTGGGCTGCAGGTGAACAGGCGGAAGAGGCTGCCGCCTGACGGGATGGGGTGTTCAGCTTCCAGTCGTTTCTGTTTTCCAAGGAGCAGCTGGACATGACCCCGCCCAAATGATTCTGGGGTTTTCTCAATCAGCCAATCACTACTTAACACTATACGAACGTCATCACCACGCGCCGTCTTCATTTATTATAATTGATCATTGAACAAAGTTATGCCTGAGTTATCGAATTACATCTAAAGCCATATGCATTACATATTAGTCATATTTTGAAGTTTCTTAGACACGCAGGAATGGATACTCAGATGCGCAGCATCGCCGCCATCTTGGGTGAGTTCCTCACTTTCCAACAAAAGGACCTGGACCTGGCTGCAGCAAAATGGCAAGTACACCTCCTGGAGAATAAATGTTTATGGTGTAAGATAGCTGCCATTAAGATGTGAGCAGGATCCTAAAATTTGTATCTGTGTGTTTGTCTTCCAACAAGTGTTGTCCATTCAATTCTGCTTTCATATTTGTCAGTCTGAAAATTGTGGAGGTTAGGATTTTTTTTAAATGTGAGTACAAATCTAAAAGCTGTGAGTGAAAATACTTGTGAGTACAACTCAAATATATGTGACTTTGACATTTTTCTGGCTGTGAACATGAATTCACTTTGTGGTACAAAAATAAACATACTTGTGAAGGTTAGGATTTTTTTATGTGAGTACAGATCTAAAGGCTTTGAGTGAAAATTCTTGTGAATACAACTCAAGTTTCTGTGACATTGAAATGTTTCTGCCTGTGGATACAAATTATTTTTGTGGGAACAAAAACAATCACACTGAAATGACCTCTGGATGAGTAATCAAACCTAGATTTCACCATACACCACTCTCCAATTTCTAAGATGGCTGACAATAAACCGGGCAGAACTGCCGGCCCAGCTCAGGTGAAGTCAACAATGTAAACATCCATTATGGATTTTTTAAAAGTACAATATCAAATGTTATATAGTTGTAAGATATACTAAGTTACTGCTATAACTTCGGGCCTATGACATGCAAGTGAGGCTATGTTAGTCCTGGCACTATTAGCATTAGAAGTTAGCTTGTGCTAATTGCTGACTGCAAAAAAAGAAGCATTTCTTTAAGCCATTATGACTGTGTCACAGGTCTCGTCACGCCCAGGCAATCCAAAAATGGGAAAAGAGGTGGAGCTGATGGTGGGGCTGTTACGGTTGAAACAATTGAACCAATGTAGCTACTAGCTAACTTAGCTAACCCAAGAGGCTAAGCAGGGGCTTCGGGGACAAGTAGATACCACCCGCACGGGCACCTGGCTTCCGTGCGAGGCTGTAGTCATGCTGGTTGCCTGTTGAGATCTAATATGGACTAACCCCATCCCCCCCCCCCCCCCCCCCCCCCCCACACACACACAGGTGTGATCTCCCTCACCTCTCTAAAGTTTACCCGGATTCCAACGCACCTCAGCTGCACCATTTTTGGATCCCCTCCCCTCAGATGCTCCCAGATGTCAGGGTTGGTTTCCTGATTAAACTGCTAGAAGAGCCTTCCCTTGACAAGCCCTCAGGCTTTACCCAACAGGGCACATATGCGTGAGGAGGAAAAGGGTGGGGGAGGATGGCTCTGTAAGGGAGTAGTGTGTGTGTGTGTGTGTGCACACACACACACACACACACACTCAATCACACATGGATGCATTTAGCTGCAGATAAATACACACATGAACTGATAATTAGACTGCGCCAACTCATAATTGACCCAGTGACACATATTACACTTAGATTCATGAAGTATTTGATTTGGCTTCAAGCTGATTTTGTGCTGCAGCTGATGTTGATGCAATTAAATGCATTTAATATTCATATGAGTTGGTCCCCAGGGCTCAGACAGGAAGAAGGGCAAGCAGCTGTCTGGAGCTGTCACGCCACAGCTAATTTAAACCCCAAAAAAAAAAAAAAAAGAAACAAATAGACCTCATGAATACAGCGTTGCTGCAGCTGAACCTGTTTCAGGTCCAGTCAGCTCAGATTTTAATGAAATTTGTGGCCATTATGGAGCAGTTAGTCTGGATATTGGTTTAGATGAGATATGCGTTGGCATTGACAGCATGTGTTCGAGAATGCAGGACAAGAAACAAGTTGACCTTTGTTTTAGAAAAATGTCTGATTTTTTCTTTTGTTTTTCTTGTAACAGAAGATTGCTTAGCTGGTCACCTCTGACATAGAAGAATGTGTTGTAGACCAAATGGTGGTAGGAGTTTATGTTCTTCATTACACATTTTACAGATAAAAACCACGGAGCTGTACAAAAACAGTGTCAAAATTAAACACCTGGATAAACAAATGGATAATCAATAAACAAAACACATTAATTCCCTCAGATGCTTTTGTACTGGATTCCAGATAATAATCATAATAAAAAGATGCTCATTCAACAATGGAGGTGCAACATACTGGAGAATGAGGTCCTCCCCTGGTCTAGATCTGGTATGAGGACCTGAGAGCTGGAGTTGGAGTCTATGGTTCTAACAATTCAGTATGTAAAGAGGTGTTTATTACATGTTCTATAACTAACATTGTGTGTGTGTAAGCCAGAATTACCCAACCACAGTGAAAGATAGTGGTGATCGTCGGTAGGACTATACCTCAGAGAGACAGATGAGGACTCTTCCCCTTGTCCAGCTGAGACTGACACACATGTCCTGTCTAGAGACAGTCAGAGCAGCTGATCACTGTCAGCAGCCTGGTAGCCCACAGTAGGAGGAGGTTTCATGCAGGAGTGTGTGAGCCAGTGTTGTGTTTTTCTCCTCCTATATCTCCTGTCCTGTCTGACGGATTATGTCCTCATGATGAGACAGACATGTCTCGCATTTCCTCTGCGAGTCCCTGAGAGACTTTCAGATGGCAGCAGTCGTTCCTATGATGGCTGTCAGCAGCTCCACACACTCAGTTTCAGGCTCTTCCCTGAGCTGAGATGAGGGGACAAAAGTCTGGAGGACATAGTCACTGGCTTGCTGCTGACGTTCATTATTTCATATCAAACGTGACTGTGATGTGTGTGTCAGCACGAGCTGATTGGCATATACAGTTTGAGAAATGAAACATGTTTTTAGCTCAGGTGTTTTAAAAAGCACCAAGATGATTCGGATTGGGGCTGACGAGTAATGAATGTTATTTCTTACAATCTTGCTGTTTTGCTAGCCATTAATGTTTAATTAGCTTATTATTTTTAAAGTATGGAAAGCCATTTCATTCATGAATGAATGAAGGAAGTGTAACCCTGTTTTTATAGTGATTTTTGTTTTATACTGGATGTTATTTGATTTATCTGTTACTAATTTGTCAAAAGCAATATTTATTTATAATGAAGTGACTTTCAGTAATTGCCTTACATTGTTGTCTCTTTTCCAGAAAAGCCTCAACACACAAGGTGACAAGGACAGAGAACGACGGAAAAACCAACAGGGATTATTTAGACATGTACACGTAGCTGTGAAACAGCATTCAGATGGATGTTGGATTGGGTTACTTTTTTTAAAAAAAACACACACACACACACACACAGATAAATAAATCTAGAAGTTTGCACCAATCCTTTTGTCAGTGTGCCCAAAAAATGCGGAGCTGGCTCTTTATTTAGATGAGAGAGAATTAGTTATTTACGATGTTTGCCACATATACGTGTCATGGTCTGCGTCTGCGTCTCCCTCATGTGTCTCCGTGTGCTCCATCCCCCTCTAAGGATCCCCTTATGTGTCTTCTTGTGTTCCTCCCGGGTCTGCAGCCCCTCCAGGTTATCCCTCCCAGGTCCTGTGCTCCCGCTGGGTCTCCCCTAGTCATCCCTCTGCAGTTTTTTTTATAAGGTTCAGCTTTTCATTTAGTTAGTCTCTTTTAGTGTGTTTCTTTCTCCACCGGTTTTTGTAGTTCTCCTTTCTCCCTAGAACATTAGTTACTTAGCTTGCTCTTGTCTTTAGGTTTTGTTTTTGCTCTTAGGTTATGTTAGTTTCCCCTCCTCTGCTCACTTTCCTCTCCCTGACCAGTTATTTGATTAATGCAGCTTATCTCCCACTCATCCTGCCCCAGTATATTTAACCCTGTCTGCGTCTCAGTGTGTTGTTGGGTCATTGTTTGTGTCACCCTTGTCGCGTTCCCCTGTCTAGCTTTTGTATCTCTTGGTTTCTTATGTTTTTGGATATCTCTAGGTTTTGTTATTAGGACTTTTTGATTTTGGTTTTTGGCTCCCTGCCGTTTTGGATTTATGCTTTAATAAAGGATTTTTACGTTATTTCTACCAACCCAGTGTCATCTGGAATCTCGGCATCTTTGGGTCCTAACCTCCTCTTGGCTCACAACGCGACAATACGTATTTGAGTTAAATATACTCACTTCACCTTTTAATGCCTGATGCAGGAGATAACCATCACAAAACAAGTATTAATCTAACAGTGATGTGATCTTTTATTACACGACAATATCATTTCATTGGATAATCTAACGGCAGGAATGAACTAATCCTGATGCAGAGATAGAGGTTTTACAACCATTGGTATTTGTGTTAATGGGCCTAAACAAAAGCAAACTTAGCTGTTTTATTTTTCCTGTGTTTCCATTTAAAAAGTGAACGAGTGTTTTTCCAGCAACACTATGAAAAAGGAGCTAAACCAGTATGAAAACCCAGACTTCCCCAGCCCTAATGGTGGTCAAAACCATGGCCAAGTCTGTCCCACATTCACCATATAATCACACCTTGCAGCATCCTTCTGTGGATGACAGGCTCGGCCAGTCTGCAGAGGCATATCTGATTTGCAGAGACATGATATGTGCATGGGCCAACTTCGTGATGAATCTGCTTCAGAGAGAAGGGAAGACAGGAAGGTTGGAGTGGGGAATGATTGTCAGAGAACATGCTGGCAGCTCAGCTTATTCAATAAGCATCGAACCTCTTTTCTGTTTGTAGCCATAGAAAATCTGCGCTGTTGAAAATGACCCTGCAGGAGTGTCTTAACCCCGTTCGGCTGTGGTGTAAAGGTAACGGATAAGCTGTATCCTGTGTGATAGCCCAGGAATGCTAAACATTGAGTGTTTCATCAGTCAGGCAGCTGATAGCAGCCAAAACCAGTCAAGTCTAGTGAAAAAGGAGATAATCCTGATGTCAGGAAGGAAAATACAGTTTATCTGGAGAATTAGCCTTTGAGGGAAAAAGTCACATTTGTAGATTTTTACAGTCAAACTATTACATTTACATCATTCTGCTGTCAGAAAGGAACAAGCCTACTACAGGTAGAATAGTGTTTGAAAACGATGATGGTTTGACTACAGAAGCCTGGAAGGGACAACCCGAACACCGGCTGAGTGGCTCTTTAACATTCTGTGTTTTGTTTGCTCAAATCTTTTACAAATTATGCTTCATAAGACTTTCATCTCTTTTCTTGGGCTCAAAGGTGAGAGACCTGCTTACGCTTTTAGAGGACCTCCGTGCCCTTGACCCCATGATACCGTCCATCCTAAAGACGACATAGACAACGAGCCGCCAGGCTATCAGTCCTATGCTCTCAGAGGGCCTTGAATTTAATCAGAATTTCCCAAATAATCATTTGCTTCTCTATGATATAGTTCCTAAAACTCTGGGTAAAATGTCCGTCAGCAGAAGGGAAGTTTAGACAAAGGAGTTCTTGCTTGAATTGCACATTATTGGTTACAGATACTTGACCCCAGATGACCCCAGCCTGGGAGAAAGCACAATCTGCACATTCCTTAAAGCCTCGCAGGACTTGAGTCTATTTGATTCGTTCAAAACTAGAAGAAAACTCAATCTATCATTTAAAATTTAAATGTTCTAGTTTGCCATTTACATGTGACTAAGGGTAAAAGCAGTCATGACAGGGGAAATTGTCCAAATATGGTTGTCATCTTGGTTTTTCAATTGGACAGATTGATCCAGTAGACTCTTGAGAAGGATTATGCCAGTTTTGGAGCTTGTGTCACAGTATTCCCACTTCTACATTTGCTTTTCAACGCCATCAGTGACCGTTGTAGACATGTTTTCTCTTCTCCCTGGAGGTGGGTTTCCTGTCAACAGGTACTTCTGGAGATGTCTCCAGGGTTTACCTGTTTTAAAGGTGTTGTTTATCATGCTATCGTATGCCTGAGGAGATTTATGACACTAAAAGCTTAAAAAGGACTTGACCTCATGATTTGAACTTTAATTGGTTTAGCACAGAATGAAAACGTAAAATAACTTCAGGCATTTAAACTAAAGGAAGTTTGACAGTAACAAATACACAATGTACCTAATAATTGAAGCCATAAGCTTGTTTTCCTCCCTTTGGGAGGTTCTGGTGAACAGTTTCACAGAGACAGTTCAGCACAGGTTAAAACTATGAGACGGTGCCACGTTGTTTAGGACACTGGGACTCTCCGGAGACGTCACACAACAAATGGACAAGGTGCTGATACGTCCAGCCGTCATGTCTGCTGAGGCTTAATGCTACAAATAAAAGGTGAGGAACACTCAAGAGCCATCCCCTCCCTCCGTCTGAGATGGGCGCCACCCCTGTTCCCACTGTTGCTAGGCAACACATTAAATTCCTCTGTCTGGACATCTCGGAGCTTCCCGGAGCAGGTCTACAAATCACAGAGTCCTCCATTAGCCGAACTGTCAACAGCTGCTGATGCCAGAAGATGATATGAACAGAAAGGTCTACCAGGGTTTAGATAGAAGATGTTCCACAAGACTGGCCTGTTTGTCAGGGGCGTGTCCAGGGAGTGGCCTGGGGTAGCACATGCCACCCTAGGAATCTGATTGGCCACCCCAGGTGCCACCACCCTAATTTAACTTTAAATAGGCTTTTCATTGTCCACAAAAGTCTTGGGGGTAAAACAAAAAAAGCATAACCATTGGTGCCACCCATGCACAAAGTTGTGCCTCACCTGGGCCACCCCATTTTAAAAGATCTGGACACGCCACTGCTGTTTGTGGGACTCAAAAACACACAAATCTGGCCCAAGTCATGAAATGTAATCCATCTTGGTGAGAAAAAGGATTTTAATGAGTTCAACAGGAGCTCTGCAGGAGCAGAGGTCACTTCAGCCAGGGATTTAAGGAGACCAGCCTTTCAACATATACAAGTAATCTTAGTGGATCCTTGATGAGAGCAGCAGGAAGGTACCATCACTTCTTTCTGGAGGGTTATCGCTCAGAAAGAATGTGAATTATAGATAAAATAGGTGCCAAGTTTGGACAAGAAGGACAGAAGAGAAGATTAATCTGATTTGAGGTTTATCATCTGGACAATTACATGATTGTTTAACCTGGAGCTATAAGGTCTACAGATCCCAAATCAGGACTCAGTTGTCCATGGAGAAAGAATCTGAATCAGGAAGTGCTGAGAGGTTTTCTTCATCACAGACCAGGCCTAAACCAGGTCCTATACTGACCGAAGGAGGACGCAGAGGGGACTGGGACATTTCTTGAGGCTCATCTAATGGGCCATTCCCATCTGTACCGGGTCGGCCCGGGCCGGCTAGAGTAGGTTGTTTACATATCTGGGTGGCCTGGTATTTTTCCGGGCCAACCAAGGCTCATTCTCAGCCCTCTTCTCGAGGGAGTCTGCTTCAGGCCGACCAGGGCCGACACACCCACTGCTGACAGCAAATTCACACCTTCCATTAGAGCAAGCCTCTGATTGGTGGATAGAATCAGCCCACATGGGCTTAAGGCAAGGATGTGTGGAATCAACCGGGCCAGGCTGGGGCCGACTGGGGCTACCCGGCCCGGGCCGACCCGGTACAGATGGGAATGCCCCATAAGTGCTGAGTCACACTGAGTGCGTTTACATGCAGCCAGTAACCCTTTTAAAACCCGAATATTCACAATAACCCGGTTCCGCACGGCCATGTAAACACCGCCAAAAACCCGGATATGCTCATAACCGGGTTTTTAAAAACCCGGTTACTACACCTGGGGTAACCCTTTTCTAACCCGAATGTTTGGTCGTGTAAACGCATACCGGGATATCCCCATCAAAGCGTGTGTGCTGCGCATGCTCTGTTCGCAAGGAATCTTGGTCTTTTGAGTAGTGAGATGTCTTGTATGCGCCAGAACACCGGAAGAAAACAACAAGTTGGGAGCAACATGGCGAGTCGCGGCACAGCACCACACTTTTGGAGTGACAAGGAAACTAAAGCGCAAACAAACGCGGTCGCTATCTCTTCCGAACTGGGAAACATGTTGTTGTTTTCACGGATACCGGAACAAGAAGAACCGGAAATGACGCATATTGCGTCTGGACGTAGTCCATACGTCCTGACGCTACCCCAACGTCCGCATTTAAATCGGGTTATGCAAGTTAGAGGTAACTCTTTCTATTTATGCTTGTAAACGGGTTATTCTGATCAACTCAGAAACCCGAATACCGACCTTAACCCGATCATAACCCGGATATTGGCTGCATGTATACGTAGTCACTGCACTCCTTCAGATGGACTCAGATTATCCTCTCACTGCCTCTGCATGCCAAACCCCTCCCTTTTCTTCCACCTTTCCTCCTGCTATCAGCTTTAATTTCCAAATATAACACTGTGAAGGGGTTGGGTGTATTTCTTCAAGGGTGCCGCCATCAAGCGATGATCACAATCAGAGTGTATTTTCTCATTACGCAGCCTGCGTAGTGACCTTTAACGGACCTTCAGGCAGAGTCTAACGGGTAACGGCAGAACCATCAGAATGTTAAATGGTTTGCATCCACTTCCTCTGTGGAAAAGCAAAGGCACTGGCCTTATTTAAGCTGCACCTTTAGACGTGTGTTGGGCTCTGCTCTCTACATCAAATCATTTCTCTTTTAGCAGAAACTGTGGGCAACAGGACTTTAAGGAGGATGCTGCAGAAAAGAGGACTTTAAAAAGTCCACACCACCGCTCCGTCCTTTTGCACAACCTGAACACCTGCTGAACCGACTGCAGCACAGTTCTCCCTGCTTCAGCACACTCCGAGCTGTGTTCACATGATGGAGCAGCTTTTGGACTTCCCTTTGCTGAAGGTGGAGGACAGCAGATCCGTCCTGCTGGGCAGGTGTAGCAGTCTTTTGGAGAGGCGGCGGGCAGGACTGGGCTTACTGGCATGCTGGAATTTGTCGGTGCAGGCCTGAGTCGCAGTTCGGAAAACACTCTGGACGCTCTTCTCTGACGTGAAGGCTGAGCACTCCAAGTAGGCCTCGGCTCCAAACTGCTTGGCCAGCGACGCTCCCTACAAAATCAAGATGGTTTTACGTGTCAGCAAGGAAGAAAGGAGCAAAGAAAATTAGGAATCTAACCTGTTCGTAGGAGACTGGAGCCTGTTTCTGGTTGGACAGCTCTATACGCGTGCAGACATCTGTGCGCAGGTCTATCTTGCAGCCTATGAGGAGGATACGAGGGTTGGGACAGAAGTCCTGGATCTCTGCCTTCCACTGCAAAGACAAAAAGGTGATTACTATTAGAAATAACAGCTGGATAAGAACAAAGGCAGGTAGCTTGCTGAGGAGGATGGTACCTTCTTCAGAGCTCTGTCCACCATGTCGGGTCGGGCGACGTCAAAGCATAACAACACAGCATCAGAATCGCTGTAGCAGAGAGGCCTCACGTTATCGTAATACGGAGAGCCTAAAGGGATGGCCAAAAGGTTCACATCACTTGTTTTTGTAAAGTTTCACTGTTAGAGAACAGAACGAGAACGGAAGCTGACATGTTGCTTCAGGATCTAATTTTCACCCTGAAAAACATGGAAAAGGGCATTTTATGCTGAAAGCAATTTAGATAAGACTTAAATGAGTTAGGAAAAGATATAAAAACAGTTCTTGTTTTAAATTAATCTGATTTTAAAACATTTGCATATCAACGGAATATCTGCATGACAGAGTGGATTAAGCTACATTACAGGATTTTCCAGCATGAATGACATATTTAAGGTCAAAGGTCTTTTTGACCTGGACTAAGATGTGAAGCATTATTAAATTATTATTCTGCCACCTGCTGAAGTCAATCAGGACCTGCTACCTCCTTAAAATATGAACACTGGTCAATGTTTATCATCTTGAAGAGTGATCATGTTAAATTTTGTGTTAAAGCTCCTTCAGAGGCAGACTGAGACATCCAAGATACCAAACAGAACGCTACCATTCGTCATTCATCCCCTCTGCAGTAAAAGTCCTCAGTTTAACTGGTACTGGCTTCATCCTGGTACATGAGAATGTGTTCAATACTTCTGCAATAGCTGATGGACATTAAGCATGTCTGTGTCTTTTAAGATCCTATCACCTACAAGGCCCTCAATAATCTCGCCCCTTGTTATCTTTCTGACCTTCTGCGTCTCCACCGCCCGTCTCGTTGTCTTAGATCTTCAGCTTCCAATCTCCTCTCTCACACTATAACTCCAAAACATCGCACCATGGGGGACAGAGCTTTCTCTGTGGCTGCTCCCACTTTATGGAACTGTCTCCAACATATTCGCACTGCTGACTCACTTCATAAATTCAAAAAACTCCTGAAAACTTACTTTATTTTACTGTCTCCTTCTCTCTGATCGTACAGCGTCTTTGAGTCGTGGTTAATAGCGCTATATGAAACCTAAGCATTATTATTATTATTAGTAGTAGTAGTAGTAGTAGTAGTATTAGTAGTATTATGCTGCATAGTTCTGGAAACAAGTTTCCTTTTATTCATATTTTTTAGTGGTTGTAGGTTACAATAATAGTTTTCTGTCTTTGTGTGTTTACTCCTTTTATTATTGTTCTTCCTTTAAGGAAGCATTTTGCTGCTGTAGCAAGTGAATTTCCCCACTGTGGGATCAATAAAGTATTCTTTTCTAAATGTGTAATTGTTGCTTTATTGTAATAACCAAGTAGCCCAAGTTATGAGAAGAGTAAAGAAAACACAATCTTCCCTTTGCACTTAAAACTAGTTTGTATCAAACTTCACTCTCAAGATCAGTGCTAAAAACAGATTGTCAGGATATTCCTTCTCTACTCTCTCTCTCTCTCTCTCTCTCTCTCTCTCTCTCTCTCTCTCTCTCTCTCTCACACACACACACACACACACACAAACACACACACACACACTGACCAAATTGACTTGCAAAAGCTGTTCCTTTTGAAAGCAACAAGATGTAATCACAACAGGAACAGTGAGGCTAGTTACCAGTTACATTGTCCTTGATGAAGGTTTCACTCCTCCTGAGACATTACATGTCCACCTAATCATCAGATGTTTTTGTTTTTTTTTTTGTTTTTTTTGCAGGTAGGTTGTTTTACTTAACTCCACAAGGATGATACCAGGAGTTTCTATGAATAACATTTCTGTTTGGAGGAATCAGCACACATCACCAGATCTGAGGAGAACACAACATCGAGCTCCAACCTCCTCCTACACATTAGCAGCCTTTCCCTGAACTCTCTCCATCTAACACAACACACACACACACACACACACACATTATAATGCAACAGACGTTTACACTAGTTGAAGCTTTTAATGTGAAAGGGCTTCTGTACACATAAAAAGTCAAGTTTTGATAATAAAAAAAACAAACAGTCTGTTTTGTTAACAGAAGCTAAAAATAGTTTTAGAAACACCCCCCCCCCTCCCCCAAAATAATACATTACTATTATGATGCCTTCCCATGGCTTCTTCCTTATTTGCTCTAACTGCATGATAAAAATCTAATTTTATGCAAGAGGCACTAAAACAATGACTGGTGATCAGAACTGGGTGATATTCAGCACAACTGGCTTTATCAGGTCAATCTGAAACGCAAAACTCAGATTATTTTTGGGTTCATGAACTCACCACAGCCACGCAGGAATGAAAAATACAAATTCTACAGCTAGTAATAACCAACAAAAGCAATGCAGATGCAATTCGAAGCACCGAAGCTTAAATAAAGACAACGAACAACATGAGGAGGGTTTTTTAATCTAGCAGAGCAAATGTAAATCAGGCTTATGCAACATTTCCTTCAGCAAGAGTAACTGCCCTGAAAGATTTTAGTCTGGACACAAACGCTCAAAACAACCCTAAAGTAGTTCTGCATTGCCTTCCCTTGTGTTATATAAGCTGGGAGGTCAGGCAGATCCCTCACTTGTGCCTTCTTTTCACACTGTAAGCATGCACACACTCACGCCTGCCTTCACATTTGCAGACTTCCGCCCCCTTCATGGACGAGGCATCCCTCACCCCCCTCCCCTGTGAAACAACCCCTCTACAGGCCAACTGGCACGGCTCGACGTCCCTCGAACACAGCCTCAGGCTCCAGCACCGGCCAGCACTGTTATGAAAGAGATCCACTAGATAGCTTTTCTATTGATCCTATTTACATTTTTGTTTTTGCATGTTTAGGTAACCCGCCTGCTGCCATTCGACTCAGTGAACCAGAAACCACACATCAATTGATCTGATTGCAGAGCTTATTTAATCTACTGATTAGCTTCTCCAATAATCCCTAACTCTTTTAAATAAGTACAAATTCAAAGACAGGTTCCAACAGGTGATGCCTAATACCCTGATTTACTTTACATGTCAAAACTTTAACAAGATATAAAACTGAAACTCACACGTTTAACAGAGCTTGCAAAGAACAAAAGTTGTATTTTATTAAGTACACGAGTTTATTTCTAAAAACTTCTAGATCAGAGTAAAGGTCAGAAATCTTGGTGAAATTTTACAGAATCAACCTGCAACAAATCTAACAAAGAAACTTTAATCTGTTTATGAAAGAAAAGAAAATCAATGAAAGATGCATAATTTTGAGATTGTGTGTTTTAGGCTCTTAATTAACAAATCTGAGCCGTTCAAAGGGTTTCTGTGCAGATCTCAGTGAAAATCTGCTTAACTGCAAACAAAACAGGGCTGACAGATAGTGAAGTCTGAGCAAACAGCAGAAAACTGAGTTGGAGCGAACAAACATGAGCCCTTCAGAGTCCCAGTCCAGAGGGAGAAGATCACAGCTTCAGCCTCACCTGAAGTGTCCCAAAGGCTGAGCTCCACGCGCTGCTCCTCCAGCTCCAGGCATGCTGTGTAGTTCTCAAACACAGTTGGGACGTACGTCTATAGGAGCACAGTCATACGACGGCAAGTGATTAAATATTTATCATGTAATATGGCCTATTCTCTAATAAAAGATACAAATATCTAATGGTGACTCAATAAATAATAAATGATAATACATAAAATATGTGGATTAAAATTATTTTTTTCCTCTGATCACCTGAACTCAACATGATTTACGAGTCCTTTATTCTCTCAAATAGTTATGGTGTGTTAGTCACGCGCCTTATATATTATTAATAAAATACTCCTTTAAAAATCTCGTAGCCCCACGTGCTGTTTTCTGCTGATTTATTTCTAAAGCTGCCTTTGTTTTATACAATAACGCAGAATGTCGCCTCACCTCTGGGTAGCAGTCCTTCACCAACACTTGCAACATCGCAGTTTTACCGCATTGGACGTCTCCCACCAGCACCAGCTTACACCTCGCCACGCGCTGCGCGAGTCTTCTCTCCTTCATGATAGTCAGAAAATAAATCACCCGCAGAGGAAATGATCAGCTCAAGTTTAGAGAATCCTCCCGTTCAGCTGCTCTGACTGTGGATGCTCCTGCGCGTGAATCGGACCTGAACTTTATGTCTGTGCGCCAACCAATCAGCGCCAGGCGCAAGGAGCGCTGCTCACGAAAGCCCAACCTAACTGTGAATTCTCTGTCTCTCACACACGCACGCACGCACGCACTCTCTCTCTCTCTCTCTCTCTCTCTCTCTCTCTCTCTCTCCTCTCTCTCTCTCTCTCTCTCTCTCTCTCTCTCTCTCTCTCACACACACACACACACACACGCGCGCGCGCACACATGTGTGGCTGGAGAGCTAAAACCCTGGAAAGATAATGTTTTTGCACAGCTGTGTGCATGTGGAGTCACTCAGTGACTCCATAGTTAATATGGTGATGTGGTGCAGCCTGACTTTCTGAAATAGAGACAAGACATGTCACAAACATGAAATGATGGTTGTAAATCCTAAAATATTAGCAAACGGGTCGAGAGCTCTTCCTCAGACATTAAGCAGATATCTGCAGCTGGTAGGGACACTTATTTGTAAAGCACATTTCAGGTGTTTCTAGGTGCTGCAGCACACCTAAAGTTTGAGTTTGTTTTTATTTATTTATTCTTATTTTTAGCTGGCTTATTTCACCATACTAGTAAAATGCATTTTACATGTAAAGACTTACAGTAGGCTGAAACATTAAATTTTTACAACAACACAGCAAACCCACCCTGTCTCAGAAGTGGTTTGATCCTGCTCACCCCTCCCAGACTCGGCTCTGAGCACTCTGTCCCCTCCTGAATGGCTGTAGGACATTTCCATATTTCTATTGGTTTTGACAGGTCCTGCAAACAGAGACACTGTCCACACAAACATTTAGGAAGATTTAAGTTAAAAAAATCTGTTTCCTCATTCAACTGTCACACCTCAGGCAGAGAAAAACATGCTTTGCATTTATGTCGTCGTCGTCTTCCCCCTTCCTAGTTGGGTCGCGGGGGCAGCATCCCAACTAGGGAGCTTCAGACCGTCCTCTCCCCGGCCTTGTCCACCAGCTCCTCCGGCAGGACCCCAAGGCGTTCCCGGACCAGATTGGAGATGTAACCTCTCCAGTGTGTCCTGGGTCGACCCGGGGCCTCCTGCGGGCAAGACATGCCCGAAACACCTCCCCGGGGAGGTATCCAGGAGGCATCCTGACCAGATGTCCAAACCACCTCAGCTGACTCCTCTCGATCCAGAGGAGCAGCGGTTCTACTCCGAGTCCCTCCCGAATGTCCGAGCTCCTCACCCTATCTCTAAGGCTGAGCCCGGCCACCCTACGGAGGAAACTCATTTCGGCCGCTTGTATCCGCGATCTCGTTCTTTCGGTCATTACCCAAAGCTCATGACCATAGGTGAGGATTGGGACGTAGATCGACCGGTAAATCGAGGGCTTTCTGGCTCAGCTCCCTCTTCCCCACGACAGATCGGCTCAGCGTCCGCATCACTGCAGACGCTGAACCGATCCGCCTGTCGATCTCCCGATCCCTCCTACCCTCACTCGTGAACAAGACCCCGAGATACTTAAACTCCTCCACTTGAGGTAGGACCTCTCCCCCGACCGGGAGTTGGCAAGCCACCCTTTTCCGGTCGAGAACTATGGTCTCAGATTTGGAGGTGCTGATCCTCATCCCAGCCGATTCACACTCGGCCGCAAACCTACCCAGCAAGAGCTGAAGGTCAGAGCTGGATGAAGCTAGGAGGACCACATCATCCGCAAAAAGCAGAGACGAGATTCTCCTGCCACCAAACTCGACACACTCCACACCACGGCTGCACCTAGAAATTCTGTCCATAAAGGTAATGAACAGAACCGGTGACAAAGGGCAGCCCTGGCGGAGTCCAACCCTCACCAGGAACAGGTTCGACTTACTACCGGCTATGAGGACCAAACTCACGCTCCTCTGGTAAAGGGACTGAATGTCCCTTAACAGAAAGCCACCCACCCTATACATTTATGTGCTCCACACAAAACCTGAAAAAATACTGAAAACCTATAGGACACCTCCAATTCTTGCCTTTAATTTAAGTTATAAAATACATAGTGGGTTCATATATTAGTGTGTTTAATGTCTTTGAACAGCTTTAGAGTCAAATGTTTATGCCACAGTTCAAGGGTGTCAGAAATAACACCAAATCAAATGTTTGACTTAGTTTGTTATTTTAATTAAATCCATTTCTGAAATGTTGGAGACTGAATCAAGTTCTGTTTCATGCAGAAAATAATAAACATAAAAAATAAATCTTAAACTTACAATAATATTCACGATGTGTGTTTTATTATTGATGATCATAACACCATGGAGGCTGTGGGCTGGATTAGGATTAAAATACCCAGCTGATGGATCTCCTTCACTCACCAGCTAACTACAAACCTTCCTGTGTGACCCTCATCATGTTACCCTCATGTCTATGCTGTCTATGAAGGAGCAGAAAGGAAACTTGATCTCATGTAATGAGCCAAAGCTTCCTCCCAGTTTTTCTTTAAACTGAATTTAACATCAGTTTATCATCACACTAGACACCCGCACCAGCAGGTTAACAGCAGGCTTCTTTATTAGCACACCCTCGGGGTACATACATACATACTGTCTGTCACACAATGTGTTCCCCCGACACACACACACACATACACACACACACACACACACACACGCACACACGCACACACACACACACACACACACACACACACACACACACACACACACACACACACACACACACACACACACACACACACACACACACACACACAATTAGTACCCACTCACATGCCCTCAGTGCAGGTGGCATATGTAAAAAAATAAATTACAGAATCAATTTTAAAATGAAACTAATCAATAATGCTTTAAGAACCTTTCAGTAAAAAACAATGACAACATGAAATTTGTTCCTCAGATAGATTTGAATGAACACACCAAATCCTAGAATGTAAAAATGAAAAACTAAAAGCACACACACACACACACACACACACACACACACACACACACACACACACACACACACACACACACACACACGCTCTTACTATTTTTGAAAAGGCACTTAGGTGTTCATGCCAAACAACCTGGGTCCTGAGAAACAGAATGCGTAGTTTGCTGGATAATGTAGTTTTTATTAATTCACCTCCACTGTCATGGGACAGTTCTTGGACTACTGCTCCCACAATGCATTGCATTCCGTGTTTGTTCTTGCGTTAGCAGTATGGCGTCTTCTTAAAGCGTATAAAATTCGCTAGTATTTTGTTGACAAGTGGATACGGTAAGATTTGAACCAAACAATTAACAAACATACAGGCTGGGTTTAATTTTCCAATCATAGCTAACTTTTACAGAATTTCAGTTTCAGTTTTGTATATTCGTGCTACTTTTTGAGGATAAACTTGCCTCTTTTCTGTTGCTAGCGGGCTAACCTGCTAGCTTTCTAAACGTACGTGAAGATGTTCACAACTGAGTCTGATGTCAACTTGATTTCTCACTTTGACTGAATAACTAAACCTTGACTGTGAAGCTTCATCTCTTCGTAAGCCCAAGGATATCTTGCTCACGATTGTAGGAGACGAATCAAACTAATCCGTAACTGTTGATAATATAATTATTGAGGGAGTGCATCAATGTAGGTTTTTGGGAATAATAATTGATGAAAAACTGTCTTGGAAACCTCATATAATGAACTTGTTTACAAAAGTAGCCAAATGTGTTGGAATTATGAAACGATGTAGCTTTGTACGTGAGCAGAAGGCTTTAATTGCGTATAAAACCAATGGGATAAAACTAATTGGATTCATTTTATTACCTTGCAAAAACGAGCTATTAGAAATCTTCATTCAACTAAATACAATGATCATTCCAATTTACTGTCTCTACATTAATTTAATCTTGAGTTACATGATTTAGTACATTTTAAATTAGCCCAAATTATGTATAAATTGTAAAAAAAATTCCCCATCAAATTTAAACTTATTTCAAGATAGAGACTCATAACTACAACTTACGAGGGAGCAATAAACTGTGTCAGCCTATAGCAAGGACAACATTGAAATCAATGCGCATCTCAGTGAGGGGTGTGAAATTGTGGAATAACTTGGCAGAGGAAATAAATAAATGCTGTACACTTGAAGCAATTTTAAAACCTATGTAAAAGAAGCGTGATGACAAGGTATAACGAGGAAAGAGAGACATTATCCCCACGATGTATGACATGAGTACAAATCTAATGGCCTAATAATTAGGGACGTGTATTCTACCTTCCCCTTATTTAAATAAATAAAAATTCATTCAAGAAATGTGAAAAGTTTTGCAGAAAATTTTTTGTGTTTTATTATTAGTGGAGGCGACCCTTGGGATCAGCTGTACTTATTGTTTCAAGAGTAAAATAGATGTGCATTTTACATCTATTTAACTTTTGACTTTCTTGTGAATTACAGGTAGAACATTTTAGTTTTTACGTTGATCTTGTTTGTTGTATCAGTCGTTAAACGTAACTTTAAAAACCCAATAAACTAAAGAAAAGATTCAGAGCTGTTGGGATTTTTGAAGTAAAAGTGAAATGGTTTTGTTATTACTTCCTGACATGAATTTTTGTCTGTAATCATGAATTATTATTGTTAAAAGGCAAATGGAAAATCGTGCCAAAACACTTGTGTTTTGCAGATGGCAGCAGAGTCCGCAGACAGGAAGGATGCAGAATCCTCAGGAACCAAAGACAGAGAGAGGAAACGCAGTCGTTCACGAGATCGAGACCGTAAAGGGTCACCTTTATGCAAACGTCATCGTTCTCGTGAACGAAACCGCTCCAAGTCTCCAGACAGGTAACGAAAATGCCAACATATAAACAGAACTCAACCACAACATTGTGGCCCGTGATACTTGCTGCTTGGCTGGAGTTGCATTTACACATCCAAGCTTGACTTTGTGTTTCTGTCTAAAATGCCTCATGATGACAGAGACCGCCGCCTGAAAGACAGAGACAAGGATCGTGACAGAGACAAAGACAGGGAGAGGAGCCGTAAGGACAGAGACAGCCATCGACGGGATAAAGATCACAAGAGATCCAGGTTTGTAAAAAGGAAACCATAATGATGTTTACAAATGGTTTGATTATTATTGAAGTTTTAATTTAGCTTGATTCTGTTTTGTCCTTTTCTCTGTTAGAAATGTCAGCATCCTAGGTAGAAGTCATTTATATTGGTATAAATTTTAGTTTCTTTTTGCTTTATAGAAGCCCTTCACCAAGGTCTAAGGATGGCAAGATGAAGAAAGAGAAGGATATAAAAGCAGAGGAAGAAGAAGATGAAAAAAAGAAAGAAAAGGTATGACTCTAGTTTAATTTATGGGCTAAAATTAGTGATGCACCGATATCTGATATTAATATCACCGTTATGGCTGATAATCAATATTTGCTGATACCGATATACTGACATTAATGCTCCTAACTTCAGCAGATTTTGTATAGAATGAAAATGATTAAAGCTGAATTTACATCATGTACACACACCAGACACATCTACGCTTCTGAGATGATTACAATCATTGTCACATGACTTAACCGATACACATCATCCCCTCACCCTCAGAAACAGATCAACAAATGAAAACAAGGTGGAAAAAATATCGGTTGTTAATATCGGCCCAGTTTTATTTATCGGACCGATACCGATATTGATGCCGATCTACTGTGCATGCCTAGTTAAAATAACCCTTAGGCAAGAACCAAACTTTCATATAAATACAAATTTTCATATTTGTATTTTCTTTAGTTTCTTAGCTAAATTTAATAAAAGTTGAGGAGAAGTAACTGAATTTGGATACTTTTTAAATAAAATAATGGATATGATTTAGCTTGTCTGGGATATTTTCTGTTTGAGGTTTTTTACCTGTGTTGTGTTGTGGTTCAGGTCCAGCCACTGTCTCTGGAGGAGCTTCTAGCCAAGAAAAAAGCAGAGGAGGAAGCTGAAGCAAAGGTCAGATGTCCCCCAATGTGTTTTTATTTATTTTCCTTAGTAAAACAAAATGTTTTACTTTATTGGCTGATTCTGTTTTAAATATTTTTTCTAATGCCTTTTGTTTTCAGCCCAAATTCTTGTCCAGAGCAGAGCGAGAAGCTGAGGCGTTGAAACGCAGAGAGCAGCAGGTGGAGGAGAGGAAGAAGATGCTGGAAGATGAGAGAAAGAAAAGGAGGGTGTTTCAGGATATTGGGAGAAAAATGCTGGGTGTGTTTTAGACCGACGCCTGGCAAATAGTTAGCATTCTGCTATATGATAAAAGGATCTATTGATTAGTTTGTTGTTTATTACAGAGGACCCTCAAGAAAGGGAGAGACGAGAGCGAAGAGAACGAATGGAGCGCGAGAACAATGGGAATGAAGAGGATGATGGGCGGCAGAAGCTCAGAGAGGAGAAAGATAAAAGCAAGGAGCTCGTAGCCATCAAGGTTTGTTAAGAGTTTACTGGGTCACATGACCAGTGTGGGTTTCCAAATGACTAAATCAATCAAATATATCCTGACCATGATTATTCTCTCTGGCTAAAGAGCAGTAATGCTGACTCTAGTGAATAATTTCACTTCATTACAGGAGCGTTATTTGGGTGGCATCAAAAAACGTCGGAGAACTCGTCACTTGAACGACAGGAAGTTTGTGTTTGAATGGGATGCCTCCGAGGACACTTCGGTTGACTACAACCCCATGTGAGTGGATGACTGAGCTCTCATCGCTCCGGTCTGTGAGGTTTTATTTAGTTTATAAATCTGTGACAATTTTCTTTGCAGCTATAAAGAGAAACACCAGGTGCAGCTGTACGGACGTGGCTTCATCGCTGGTATCGACCTAAAGCAGCAGAAAAGAGAGCAGTCCCGTTTCTATGGTGATCTGATGGAGAAGAGACGCACACTCGAGGAGAAGGAGCAGGAGGAGTGAGCACAGCTGTGAAATGAGGGCACTTCTGGAAATGGTAATTACTTTGCCCCTAATGGACATATTGTCCCATTTGTGTCTTCCCTGCAGGACGAGACTGAAGAAGGTGCGTAAGAAGGAAGCCAAGCAGCGCTGGGACGACAGACACTGGTCTCAGAAGAAGATGGACGAGATGACGGACAGAGACTGGCGTATCTTCAGAGAGGATTATAGCATCACCACCAAAGGAGGAAAGATCCCGAACCCCATCAGGAACTGGAAGGAGTACGCGCTGCCCGCCCACATCCTGGAGGTCATCGACAAATGTGGCTATAAGGTGAGAGTTGTTCTAAAACTGGCTGCAGGGGTTAAAATAGATCTGTGTGCATCTGAATCCCCATCATGACTCTCGTTTCTCTCCAGGATCCAACTCCAATTCAGAGGCAAGCCATTCCTATTGGCTTGCAGAACCGGGACATTATTGGTGTGGCAGAGACGGGTAGTGGGAAAACGGCAGCCTTCCTGATTCCTCTGCTGGTCTGGATTACCACTCTCCCCAAGATTGACAGGTAGCGCCGAATAAAACGTGAGTAACCCCCAGCAGAACACTTGCTGTGTTCTAACTCTCTTCTGTCGGCTGCTTCTGTCTGTTCTGTTCATGGCAGGATCGAAGACTCGGATCAGGGTCCTTATGCTGTGATTTTGGCTCCAACTCGTGAGCTGGCTCAGCAGATCGAAGAGGAAACCATAAAGTTTGGCAAACCCCTTGGTATCCGAACAGTAGCCGTGATCGGAGGAATCTCCAGGGAGGACCAAGGCTTCCGCCTCAGGATGGGCTGTGAGGTGATTCATTCATCCGTAACCCCCAAATTCCACTACCTCCGCTCCGCTCCGCTCCGACACGAACGCCGGAGCAAAATCGGTCCCGTTGTAGTCAATCAGAGCTATTCCACTACTGCGGCAGTGCGGTGCCTCTGTTCCGGCGTCCGACAAAAATAGAATCGATCCTATTTTCGCCGGACGCCGGAGCACCTCCGCAGTAAATGGACAGAAATCACAACGGCCCAACAGGAAAAGGAGCAAGCACAATTTCCGTTTTTCACAATAAATCGATAAACAAACGGCGTTTTTTGTTTCATATGCACAGATTTAACAACTTTTAACAACTATCAATGGCGGCTGAAGTTTAAATGCACAAAGATAAGCCATAAATACAGTTTCCACTATCAAAGTAGTCACACTTTGTTGATCCAAACACTGCTGATCTCTCAACACACATGATGGGCAGATTAAACAGTTCATGCCGATGCTTCTCCCACACAACGGGTGTTTGGATCTAACTTCCGCGTTTATTGCTCGGACTGTATCGCAAGATCTCGAAAATCCCGCGCATGCTTGTTTGCCCCCCTCAGGTCTCCGCACCGGAGCGGAGCCGTTGTAGAGCGGGTAGCAGTAAAAATTGAGTTCGGAAGCGAGCGGCTGCGGAAGGCGGGGGCGGACTGGAGCGGAGGTAGTGGAATTTGGGGGTAACATGCGTCTGCTCCAGAGAACAACCAAATCCACTCAGCTAGTACCTGGAATTTTAAGAGGAATGAGTGTAGATGCCCTGGTTGTTGATGATTATCTTTAATTTTTTGATTCTGACAGTTTGGAAGTTGTGTGAAAATATTCTTTAAATCTCTAGTAGAGCATTAATAGAGCAAACGTTCAGTATTTCATACTTTTTGAGTTTTGCAGCTTAATCCTAATTTACACTTCTCCGTCTGCGTCAGGACGGACGCAACGCCATTATCCGTCCTTGCGAGCCTGATGGAGAGCCCTCGCAAGAACGGACGGAGTCGAGCTCTCTCTTCTAAACATCCGTCTGTCGAGACGGAGAGCGCAAGCTTGCGATTGGTCAGGACGCCATCTACAGCGCCGTCATTGCGCCCTCAAAAACAAAGAGAGCCAAGATATCTCGCGGCAGACACGGAGAAGCTTGAAGAATACATCGCGGAAAAAACGAAAACAAAAAACGTTTTATCCCCCCGTGACCGGAGGAGTAAAGAGATACGCAGCAAACGTTTTATTCGTGGACGGAAATCACGGGAAACGTGGGTTTAGAGGTGGCGAGCGCATGAAGAGGCGGAGGAGGATGAGTGACAAATTTGTTAAAAAGTCTCTTAAATACAACATAAACACACCATGTGGACTGGACGCATGACAGGATACCACAGAACAGCGCTGCGCCCTCTGCTGTCCTGGTGGGGAGTTGTTTGCTGCACTCCCCAGGAGACGGAGAAGTCCGATAGCACAACGTCCCCATCCGTGCGCGTGTGTCTCTCCCCGGTGACGGAGAAGTTAGGCTTCACTTTACCGTTTCATTTAGTTTCTTTTTCCTGCCTACAGATTGTAATCGCCACTCCCGGTCGTCTGATCGATGTGCTGGAGAACCGGTACTTGGTTCTGGGCCGCTGCACCTACGTAGTCCTGGATGAGGCCGACCGTATGATCGACATGGGCTTCGAGCCTGACGTCCAGAAGATCCTGGAGTACATCCCGGTGACCAATCAAAAACCAGACACAGATGAAGCAGAGGACCCTGAGAAGATGATGATGAACTTTGAGTCTGGGAAACACAAATACAGACAGGTATGTGTTTGAGCGAACCGCTTGTAGGTACCAGGTGTTCTCTGGTGAACAAACCGTGATTTATCCAACCTTTCAGACGGTCATGTTCACCGCTACGATGCCTCCAGCTGTGGAGCGACTGGCCCGGAGCTACCTGAGACGTCCTGCTGTGGTGTACATCGGATCAGCTGGAAAACCTCACGAGCGGGTCGAACAGAAGGTGCTGCTGATGTCAGAAGGAGAGAAGAGGTGAGCTGCAGGCGGGAACACGTCAAAACATCTCAACTGTGTCGGCGTGCTGAGTGAGTTTTGTTTTTGTGTCGCACAGGAAGAAGTTGCTGGAAGTTTTGTCGCGCGGCTTCGAGCCTCCCATCATCATCTTCGTCAACCAGAAGAAGGGCTGCGATGTGCTGGCTAAATCTCTGGAGAAGATGGGGGTAAGGATCAGGAGGCTGTGTAACAGGATCTCACCTTATGAAATAGATTTGACACCTATTCAGAAAAATGCTGGTTGTTTTCATTTTTAACTGCAAATATTGCAACAATTTAGTGACTTAACGGACTTTTGCTGCGCTTTAAGCTTCATTTACACTTATTCGTCTGCGTCGGTGCGGAAACACGCCACACCTTTATGCATCATTGCAAGAGTTCTCCGACGGGCTCACAGAGGGTGACGGAGACGTGTTCACTTAACAGAGACTGTAAGCTTGTGACTGGTCAGGATGCTGATTCCTGTAATTTAGTCAAGAGCGCCGCCTTCGCCCCCTCAAAAAGTAAAACGATATTTAGCGGCAGACATGGATTTAAGAAGGCATTGTGGAAAACAGTCTATATGAAGGTTTATTCACCCGCGACTGAAGGAGTACAAAGATATGCACAAGCGTTTTATTCATGGTCGGAAATGACGAACGTGAGTTTAGAGGTGCCGATCGCAGAAAGGGGTGGAGAATGGGAGACAAATTTGTTTGTGTTCAAAAGTCTCTGAAATACATGAAAACAATGTAAACACATTAGTAAACACACTATTGTGGACCAGATACTTGACTGTGATGATGGCAGGAAACCTCAGATCGGCGCTACGCCCTCTCTTGTCTTGGCGGGGAATTATTATGCAACAATCCCCAGCTGACGGAGAAGTCCAAGAGCTAAACGCCTCTTTCAATGCGTGTGCGTCTCTTGCGCACGGCTGATGAAGTATAAATGAAGCTTTTGTCACAAAGTATCTTAAACGGATACTTTGTGACTTTTTCATATTTTGAATATCATTTTCATGAGCCAGTATGCGCTAAAATAACCCTTTACCAGGTTAAGGAAATGCCACTGTCCTTTGTGCATTTGCAACTTCAGAGTGCCGGTCTGGTCTGTTTGATTTAGAAGAAAATGGAGCTGACATACCTGGCGCTGCAGTCTTCCATCACGTTTCCTGCATATTTTGGATCAGGAACACAGCTGATTTGTTTAATTTAGTGATTATCCACTCTTGTAGAGCTTAAGGAAGGCTGGGGAGACATTTCAGCTTTTAGCTTAAGGTGTTAAAAAGATGAATGCACAGTGAGGAAGGGCTGGGCGATATGGCCTAAAATCAATATCACGATATATTGAGGATTTCACCTCGATAACGATAAATGGGCGATAACCACAGGTATGTGTAGAAACAAAAGTTGTCCACTAGATGGGGCTGTCACACGTATAACGTTGAGTCAAGATGGTGCAGCTTCAAGCAAGCCAAGACTGCCTAGTCTCCCTTTAAGTCCATCTTGTGAGGAACGTTCTGCTTGACTGAGCAACACGATGAGATTCTGTGACTGAGGAAATGTAACAATCTCCTGGTCTCCGATGGTCACAGCTCAGTGACCGTCGGAGACGCATACCTGTCTGGATGAACATTTTGCGACTTGTGGCTTTGATGAGTGTTTGGTTCTGTAGTGTTGTATGCATTATGTGTTGTTCACAGCTGTGTTGACCCTCGCCTTCTCTTCTTCTCAGTACAATGCGTGCACGCTGCATGGTGGCAAAGGCCAGGAGCAGAGAGAGTTTGCCCTCTCCAATCTCAAGGCAGGAGCCAAAGATATCCTGGTGGCCACAGATGTTGCTGGTCGAGGTATCGACATCCAGGACGTCTCCATGGTCATCAACTATGACATGGCAAAGAACATTGAAGGTCACTGTTTCTTTTTTGTCACTTGTGTTTCAACAGGCACTTGGTTTCCAAACATGGATAATAATCTGATCATGTGACTCTTCCTACAGATTACATCCATCGTATTGGTCGTACTGGTCGTGCTGGCAAGAGCGGTGTGGCCATGACTTTCCTCACCAAGGAGGACTCTGCCGTCTTTTATGACTTGAAGCAGGCAATCCTGGAGAGCCCGGTGTCCACCTGTCCTCCGGAGCTGACCAACCACCCCGATGCGCAGCACAAACCTGGAACCATCCTTACCAAGAAGAGACGCGAGGAGACCATATTTGCTTGATTTCAGTTATTTTTTTACTTCGTTCATTGACCACAAGACAAAAATGTTCCTGTTTATTTTCCCGTCGCACAATGTGCTCTTTGGTACTTTTTCACCTGGTTTTGTGTTATTTATGTCCCATTTGTGGTCAGAAAAACACATTTGCAGAGGGTGAAGTTGGACCAGTGAGCAAAACTGTGTATAAACGTGAAATAAGTAGCTGCAGAGTTTTGTGTTGTGATGTGAGACCAAAACCTGATGGGAAGTCAGGTTTTCCTCTTGGTTAAATGCTGTAACCGTTTTTAAATATAAACATCCGTACAACACACTTCAGATGACCTTGTTTGTTGAAGCTGTTGTCGAGACAGGCAAAAACATTATAGTCCACCGTTCAGAAGCAGTGGATAAAAGGTGCACCATGAAACAAGAACCAAAACCATTAAAAGTACATAAAATGTCTTGTTTATTTAGTTGAAGTCATATTTCACTTAGCATTGTAAATCGGTTTTGAAATAGAAAGCATTCTTTACAGCATCAGGCAGGAAACGGCTCACTTTTCTACTCATTTTCTGTCTTTTTGATAAATCCAGGGAAGAGGCGTGTCGGACCACGCTAGCACGCTGTGGTAGTCTGGTGGATACATGGTTGGATTTAGTGCAGTTATTGCATTACAAAGCAACCACCCCATCCCCAAACAAAATAAAATAGTGCAATTTTTTTCTACTCACATAGAGGAAGTCCGGATGGTCTAAGGCGTTAGTCTGTTTTGTTTTTTTAATGTTAGGCTTCATATTGCATACAGAATAAGAAAATTAAATGATAACCCTTGTAGAAATTGTGCTTGATAAATTGAACATCCTTATCTGCGTCATCGGTTGCTAAGTTGGTCCACTTTGATAAACAAATTGGCAAAATGTTATGAAAGTAGCTAATTGTTGAACTGAGACATGCAGGCCTGTGAGAACTCCCTAACTCTAGTCAGTTGTTTAGAAATAAAATCCACCCTGGGAATACTTTTAGGGGCATCCTCAGCGCTCGGGGCTTTGGAGAAATAAATGTTCAGTAATCGTGTTGCGAGTCGCCCCAAAGACACGACCATCACTACAAGACGACGAGGAGAGTCCGAACCAAACGCATTTTACTAAAATACTTAACTGGAAAAAGAAACGATCAGATTTCATGCAACACTTGCATAGATTTTTTTCTTTTTTAAAGTCATGCATTTTTTAAAATTTTCTCTTTATATATACAGAACACTAGATAACTGTATGCGACACGTGGAAGCAGTAAACGCTGTCCCTGTGGAGGGACAGAGACGGGTCGCTGCTCAACAGCATCAAACTCTGCTCACGGACTAGAGATGGACAAGATGTTATGGGTGCTACGAGCGCCTCAGGAGCCTGACGGAACGTGGAGCTGAGCTCGATGGCGGTGTAGTAGGACTTACACCTGAGGATCCATCTTAGTGTGGAAAAGAAATTTTAAAAATGCTTAAAATCTTGGAAATGGTGAGTGCTACAATCAGTAACGTGCTACAGTTGGATGAACGGGGTAGAAACCAGGTGGTGCCGGAGGTGCAAAAGGCATGCAAGCTTACATTCTGTGAAGCTTTGACTCGGGAGCTGCAGCTGTGCAGCGTGTGCTTGGTAATGTGGGAATGATGGGATGTAAACAAGCGTTTTGGCAAATCCGTTCCTTGAAACATTTTCAAACATTCCATTTCTTAGTTGTATTTACATTCTGAGTGCCTTTTTTTTTTTTGTTTTCAAGGTGTTGGAGGGTGATAGTGCAACAACAAGTGGACCTACTGCAGCCTGTGACCGGTCGGAGGCTGCCTCTTACAACATCGGTCAGTGAAAACATGGATGCAACAAACATTTGTCCGTACCAACAAAATCCAACAGATAAAGAAGCAACGAAACCAAACCAAGAGCTCATTCAGTATATATACACACACGTCATAATCAAATGCATTACAATTACCCATAAATGAATTTAACACTGGACATTCCTACGTTGGTTAATCCGTAAAGATCATTCACTTCCTGTTCAGCCGCATTGTGCAAATAGTCTTAAAATAATTATACATGCAATAGTAAAGACGATGAAAAGTCTTGGAGGTTTTAAGGCCAGAGTATGAGACATCCTACAGTAGAGACCCTCAGGCCGAGCAGCAGCCTGGAACCTTTCTGTTGCAGAGGTGAGTAGCCCTGTTGGATTTAATTTGAAGATTAGAGGAATGCTAACTAGATTATCATCTGTTTCTGAGCCATATGTAAACACGAGCCGATTTTGGGAAAGTCTGTTTAGGACCGTGCGACAGTTGGGGGGCGTGGGGCTTGATGGTGAAGCTGGAAGCGGGCCCTTGTTTCAGTAGTTGTCTCGGGGCCAGGGGCGGCTACGCTGCCGGTTGATCCTCTGGTTGTGATCTTGTTGAGCTTCACGCTGGAGCAGCCTGTCTTGTGACTCGTGCCCGTTAGCACTGTGGGCACCTCCTGGATGCCCACGGTGAGAGGGGTACATGTCCCTGTATGTGCGTGCGTGACAGGGGGAGGCATACTCATCCTCCTCCTCCTCCTCCACATCTTCATCCTCTTCCACCCCTGTGTGGCATGGGCTCCCCCTGTGGCCGCGGGACAGGGAGTCGCTGGCCTCGTCAGATGGCATGAGACTGTCCTGCTCAAGGGGGGAGTGGGCCTCCTGGCCGGCCTCCTCTTCATCACCCTCCAAGCCCACCGCCTCTCGGGGCTGCGCCTGGTTCTTGTTCTGGAGGATTTATTAGAGGGGGGAAAAAACAAAAACACTGGTAAATGGAAAACTCTAAAGCAACCAATGATGACGCAGTCCTAAAAACATTCCGGGTTTATAATCTAACTAAATATTGTCACAGTGCCGGATTAAAGAGTCAGGCCTAAACTGCACTCTGCATCTTCACAGATGGATGTGTTTGATCAGGTCAGCCCACAAGTCACCTTAAAGTTTCATCATCTCAACTCAAAACACACATTTAAATGTTGTATTTGGAAATAAAAACAATGAAGTGGTTTGTTCCATTTGTGAGAAGTGCAGCGGTAGGATGACTCAGAGCCACGACAGTCACAGTGCCAGGTCAAACTAAAGCAGAGTCACCATTTAAAACCACGCACATGCCCCCGAGCGGGTTGAAAACGTTACTTTTGGCTGCAGTTGTCCCTCCTCTAGTCCGAACAACATAACGTTCTTATCTGAAGGTAATTAATAAAGCAACTGTGTCTCTGAATGAAACGTAAAACGATCGCTTTGATTGATGACATCAGTTAGTGGTCATAATGTTGTGGCTGATTGTGCCAAAATAAATACAAAGTCAATCAGAAGGAACAAATACATCAACGGATAACTCTTCAACCTGATCACAGGATTAAAACAGAGAGCTCCTCATCTCCTCGTGATGAAATGAAGACGATCACTCGGGCAGAACCGAACCAGGATCTGATGTCAGGGATCAGTCGTGTGTTTAAACAACCGCTAACGGTGTTAACGAAGACTAGAGGTGGGATGTGGCACACTTTAGAAGGCTTCTCTTAGCTGAACGTTGTGTTACTTGTGTTTTAGTCTGATTTGACAAACGGCAGAATCCCTCTGTGGTCCACAACATTTAAGATGTTATTGATCATAACTGTTCTGCAGAAACACTCCAAGATGCCCTTAAACTATTAAAATCATCATTGGAAACGGGTTTAGTCTTTTTGAAGGAAACACATTCAGATGGAGCTCTGTGTGTGTGTGTGTGTGTGTGTGTGTGTGTGTGTGTGTGTGTGTGTGTGTGTGTGTGTGTGTGTGTGTGTGTGTGTGTGTGTGTGTGTGTGTGTGTGTGTGTGTGTGTGTGTGTGTGTGTCCCACAGTGGCGGAGGGCAGAGTTTTAGGACACACACAGCAAATTAATAAAATAATGTGGTTTAGAGTCTCCAAAAGCAACACAGCTCATGCCCGCCTTTATTATATTATGGAGGAGACCACGGACTTAAACGCCGCCCATGGGTTCAGGGATTTCCACATTCCTGAGAAGTCCTTCGGAACGACACATGAACACTACACCGCCCGTCCGAGACTGAACTGACGCCACCCTCCCACGACTGTACTGACCCTAATGTGTAAGTGGCAAATGTAGAAGCTAAATATACGCCTGAAAATTGTTTAAGTTATTTTGAGTTCTGCATTGGCTAGTTGAAGGTTGCAGGTTTGAACCCCGTCTGTGGCATTTCTTCATGGATTTTGCATGTCCTCCTCATGCATGCATGTTTTTGCTCCCAACCTGGTAACCATAAATTGCCTCTATGCGTGTGTCTGTCTGGCTGGTTGTTTGTCTTTGTTTATTCCTTTGATGGACCGGAGAAAAGAGGTTCGGAAAATGAATGAGCAAAACCCTCTACTTGGTGTTTAGCGACCCAGAAGGGGTCCCTGACCCCAACTTTGGGAACCGATGTACTAGAATACAACAGAGTCAGTACATGTTAGCCCTGTCTGGTAAAAGTCATGCAGCGGCGTAGCAATGGTCAAGTCTCTTCAGAGCCATCTGATGTGTGTGTAAAAACATGACGTCATGTGCGATGAAATGTTCATGGTCCTAAGTGAGCAGGACAGCATGCGCCGAGCATGCATGAGTAACACCAACTGAAACAGATCACTATGGGAGCCTTTTTACTTCACACACATAAAAACGGAAGGTGTGGCTTTGTGAGAAAGTTTTTTGAGCTGGGATTCACCTCCAAATTAGCAAGTTTAAAGTAAAAAAGTAAAAAATAAAGGCACAATGCAAGAAAAAAAAACACGTGGCGAGATCTGAGTGAATTAAAAGGTTCATTCACTGTCTCAGCCGCTGTGTTGTGTTCAGGTGTAAAAGTAAAAGAGAACGAGAAGGGGGTGCAAATATAAACCCTACTACTCACCCCGCTTTGTAATTGATCATTCAATTAATTCCTGTGTTTCAGAAAACTGCAAAGATGTTAAGCATGGATGAGTGAGAGGACAGACAGGACAACTGGACACAAATCTAAGATGAAACAGCAACAACAGACCATTCTGACTACAGAGTCTTTAACCAAAAGCATCCTGTGTGCTCATGCTCTCCTGGCAGCCAGATTGGTGGCGGCAGACGTACCTGTAGGCTGGAGATGACAGAGGGAGGGGTCATCAGGCTCTGCTCCAGTAAGGGATTCAGAGGACTGTTTCCTGGGAGGTGAGTGGCACGCCAGTACACCTCCAGGTATTCAGCCAGATGCTCACAAGCATCTTCCAGCTGGTTCTCATCTAAAATGACATCAAACATGTCCTGCAAGGAAACAAGGAGGACATCACAAGGTGCCCTAGAGCCACGCTCTTACCACAGTGGGGAGATCTGCTTGTGTTAAATGCAGAATTTGGTCAGTTTTTGAAGTGAAAATGAAAAGAATCCCCCTATTTTCTGACCCTTTATTAAATAACACAATCATCTACAGATTATCCGATAGCAGGATTAACCTTATAAATTACATTTACCAAAGTTAACAGCTTAGGCCTGTTTGTAATTTTTTAACATATCGGTATCGGTCCTACCTCAAGTGGAGGAGTTTAAGTATCTCGGGGTCTTGTTCACGAGTGAGGGTAGGAGGGATCGGGAGATCGACAGGCGGATTGGTTCAGCGTCTGCAGTGATGCGGACACTGAACCGATCTGTCGTGGTGAAGAGGGAGCTGAGCCAAAAAGCCAGGCTCTCGATTTACCGGTCGATCTACGTCCCAATCCTCATCTATGGTCATGAGCTTTGGGTAATGACCGAAAGAACGAGATCGCGGATTCAAGCGGCCGAAATGAGTTTCCTCCGTAGGGTGGCCGGGCTCAGCCTTAGAGATAGGGTGAGGAGCTCGGACATTCGGGAGGGACTCGGAGTAGAACCGCTGCTCATCCGGATTGAAAGGAGTCAGTTGAGGTGGTTTGGGCATCTGGTCAGGATGCCTCCTGGACGCCTCCCCGGGGAGGTGTTTTGGGCATGTCCTGCCGGCAAGAGGCCCCCGGGTCGACCCAGGACACGTTGGAGAGGTTACATCTCCAATCTGGTCCGGGAACGCCTTGGGGTCCTGCCGGAGGAGCTGGTGGAGGTGGCCGGGGAGAGGACGGTCTGCAGCTCCCTAGTTGGGATGCTGCCCCCGCGACCCGGAACAAGATAAGCGGAGGAAGACGACGTATCGGCCCGATAAATTAAACTGGGCCGTTTCCATTTATCACTTTCAGAGTGTGAGGGGTGGTGGTGTGCATTTGTTTAGTCATGTGACAGTGACTGTAATCATCTCAGAAGCATAAATGTGTGTGTACATAGTAAAGTAAATTTAGCTTTAAGAATTTTCCTTCTATACAAAATCAGTTGATTTTAGAAGCATTAATGTCAGCACAGTGGTTTCGGCAAATATCGGTTATCGGCCATAACAGTGATTTTAATATCGAATATCGGTATCGGCCCAAAAATCTCATATCTGTGCATCACTACCTTAGAGTGCTGCAAACTAAAACGTAGAGAGACAATCCTGCCCTTAAACATTCACCAGTCTGCACGAGTTGGTGATTAGTGATGCCTACTCACAGTGGGGCACTGAGAGAGTTTGTCTGCCGCCATCATCTGCACGTTTAGGTGTTTGCTCTGAGACTTTCCCCTGGACTTGATCAGCCTCTGCAGCACCTGACAGAAAGAAAAACAACATCAAAGATGATAACAGTGCTCATAATTCTATCTGAGGCTCCTGAACGAGCCATACCTTTGGCGAGGAAACTTTCACGTAGACGATGATGGGAGCAAGAGAGGTTTTGGTGAGCTGTGTGGGGTGGTTGATGGTGTCTGCGTCCAGAACCACCAGCTGCAGGGTTTTGGCGAGCTCAAATATCCTCTCAATCTCACTCTGAACCTCCGCTGCAGAGACGAGCCGCAATCTTTAGACTCAGGCTCCATCAGGTTTAGAGCAAAGTGTATCCATGCACCTACCCAGGCTGGAGCGCGTGTTGGACCGCTCCATTATGGGCCTTTTGTTGAGAACAGACCTCTTGGCTAAGGACAGATCAGCAGTTACACGGGTGATTGAGATTCTGCAGACCAAAGCAAACAAGGACCAAAGTATTTCAGGCATTTCCTAAAAAAACCTCACGTTTAACACTTTCTGCGTTTAGTCATTTAATTTAACTGACCTTCCCTCAAATCTGTGTTTCAAGAAGTCAAACAGGGCTTTCTGCATCATGTCTGTCACCTGAGCGAGAAGATCAGAAGCTTTAAATACACACTACAATCACACTAACGGGTTATAATCGGAACATAAGCGCACAGAAAAACTGCTTCCTTGCACCACTCATGAATTGTGATTATCCTTAGAGGTGAAATGAGGAGACACTGACCTCATAGCCCTTCAGTGATGGTCCCACGAGGACCACCGGCCTCATAGAGGGCACCACGTCATAGGGAGGGACATGTTCCTGCCATAAATAGGAAAGGACAGATGGAAAGTGATGAGGTATGGAAGAAGTGAGGGTAAATGCCATTGAGGTTGGATTTATTCGTTGTGAAAAATCCTAATCCTAGTGATCGGATAAGCAGCGTGAATAACAAGGGCTGGACACCCTTCTTTATGGGGATCCCAGCTGTTTTTAGCACTCATACCAGGTAATTCAGGAAATGTGTCATTTGAAATTAAGTAAAAACAACTTAAAAGAATGTTTTAGACCTAAAAACTATTTTGCAAGTTCATTAAATCTGATGTTCTTCAATGTGTTTCAATATTTACAAAAAAGCATCATGAAGAACCACCACCTTACCTGTTTTTGCTTCTGTTTAGCTTGTGAAAACAAACATAAAACCATCATCAAGTGTAAAAGAGAACAGAGCAGATCCTGGCACCAGAAGGAAGGTTGCAGTACTTACGTTCACCTGCAGATGGCGGAGTGGTCCTCCAGCCACCAGTCACCATGTCACCTATACTGGACGAGTTTCCTCCAGTTTTCCTGCAACAGCAGCAACATGTTGATTTATTACTCCATCACCGTGACAACACAGCCTTCAGCATGTGTCAAAGCTGTTATCAAACCTCTGTTTCTGCTCCTGTTTGAGTCTCATTGCTTCCAGTCGCAAAGGGCTGGGGATGAAGGCAATGTCTGCTCCCTCTTTGACTAGCCGCCCGATCCACCAGTCATTGTTGTACTTCTGATAAATCAGTAGAACAGCACAGTGTCACGTCCGTCTGTCTTACTTAAGGGAATAATGGGCATCTGTCAATGGTAACGGCTCACTTCTTTGATGTGCAGGAAGTCTTTGGCATCAAAATTGACTGCAGCTCCTTGGACAGGACAGTCTTCATCTAGAGCTCCGCAGTAACTCACATTTGTCTTTACCGCAAACGCTACAGGTTTGGACTGTAGAAACGACAACAAGCCAACAGGTAATAGGTGGGGCACCTCTGGACAGGTGACAGGGCAACAATAGATTAAAATTTGTTATTTAAGAAGTTTTGAATGTAAAATCCACACCAACACCAAAGATCAGCTCAGAGACTTAGTGATAGAGTGTCTGCCCTGAGACCAGGAGACCAGGGTTCAAATCCTAGTTGGGCCATACCAAAGAGGGGTTGGATTGGGGGGTTAAACCACCACATGGTTTCCGAGCACAGCCATGTCTGCAGCTCAACACTCCCCCAGGAGATGGGTCAAATGCAGAGAACAAATTTCTCACACACATCAGTGTGTGCGACAACTAACGGCACTTTAAGACTGAAAGAAAGATTGATGCATTGTTGACATTCTATACAGGAAGCTGAGTTTTAGATTCGTTTCTGAAGGATCAAATGATTTGGCAAATAAAACTTTTATGACAGCATCCAAACTCTCTCAGACAGAGATGTTTATATTGTAGATAGCTTCCTCAATGCCTTTTAATGAAGTAATATGTATGCCCTGCAGGACTGATGAGCTAACAGCTAGCTAGAGCAGGTTTTCGTAGAGCTCATTCTACTGAAACAGCTCTTCTTAGGGTCTCTAATGACCTTCTGACTCACAGTGATGCAGGGGACGGTTCTGTTCTGGTCCTGCTGGACCTGACTGCAGCCTTTGACACTGTTGACCATCACCTGCTACTGGAGAGGCTGAGAGACTGGGTAGGCCTATCAGGATGTTCTCTGGAGTGGTTCTCCTCTTATCTCTCTGAGCGCTCCTTTTCTGTGGCCTTCTCCAAGTTTAGGTCCTCCACCACCTCTCTTACCCATGGTGTCCCACAAGGTTCTGTGCTGGGGCCTCTACTCTTCCTCCTCTATCTGCTTCCTCTTCAGCACATCCTGAGATCCTTCAAAGGAATCTCCTACCATCTTTGTGCAGATGACATCCAACTGTACATCTCCTTTAAGCCCCATGAGATGTCTAAGCTGCAGCTGTTACACACCTGCTTAGACTCTATCAAAACCTGGATGGCTGGGAGCTTTCTTCAGCTGGATGAAGATAAGACTGAGATCCTCATCTGTGCCCCAGACAAGCTGGTTCCCAAAGTCAGAGACTCTCTTGGTCAGCTTGCTTCCCACACCAAATCCTCTGTCAGGAATCTTGGCGTGACCTTTGACCCAGCTCTCACCCTGGATTCTCATATCAGTTCTCTTGTTCGCTCTTCCTTCTTCCATCTCAGGAACATTGCTAAGCTGAGTCCCATTCTGTCCCTCTCTGAACTTGAGACAGTTGTCCACACCTTCATCTCCTCACGCTTAGACTACTGTAACTCTCTTTTCACGTGTCTGAGCAGAACCTCCCTGAACCGTCTACAGGTGGTTCAGAATGCCTGTGCTCGGCTTCTGACCAAGTCCTCCACACACACCCACATCACCCCGCTTCTCCTCCAGCTTCACTGGCTGCCAGTCACCTTCAGGGTTCATTTCAAGATCCTGGTTCTGGTCTATAGGGCCTTACATGGACAAGCACCATCTTACATTGGTGATCTTCTTAGTCCCTACACCCCCAGCAGGTCCCTGAGGTCCAGTGATCAAAGCCTACTGGTTGTGCAGCACCAGGCTAAAGACCAAAGGAGACAGATCATTTGCTGCTGTGGCCCCCAGACTCTGGAACTCTCTCCCCCTGAGCCTGAGATCAGTGGACTCAGTGGTCTCCTTTAAAAAGCAGCTGAAAACTCACTTGTTCAAGCTGGCTTTTGTATGACCTTCTTCACCACTCTCTCTTTATTCTGCTCTCCCCACCTATTCCACATTCCTCAGGATCCACTGA